CCCCCCCGCTCTGATTCTGTCACATCCACACCCACCCCTGTCTTGAGTAAAGAGTTTTCTTCATTTGATTTTATAAATGGAATAATTAGAGATTTTGCTTGAGTTGTATCAGTCGAAATGCAGCAGCTTCAGTCATGGCGGTACAACTTTAGTTATATAGTAATTGTTCGCTCAACTATTTTATTTAATTTATATTAGGCATTAATTATCGCCACACTACTAATAACAATTCTGTACAAATAGAACAATAAGAAAAGAAATATATGCGTGATTACAGTCACCATGTACTGGACACATCATTTTGTCCAGTACAACTCTAATGGACCTTCTCTTAATCAATATTTCTTCAACAGGAATACGAAATCCTACAAGTGCATAATATTAAAGTGTAACATTTGATTGGCGAATAACGTTTTGATTCGAATTGTTATCTTCCATGAGCGAAAATCTGCATCTTTAATAGCTGTTTATTTTCTTTTGTATTGAAAAAGAATTTTTTTATGAAGTTTTGTATGCCTTGAATTTAATTTGAAGGAAAAAATGACCTAAACATTTATAATCATTCTTTTGCAATAACAAAATTTTCAATGTTTTCTTTTTGAAAATCGAGCAAAGTGATAGTTCTTCAATCAAAAATATTTTAACGAGCTCTTCAATATTGTACACATAACGAACTCCTGATTTTGTTTTTAAAAGAAAAATTTCTATTAAGAATAAACACTTTATTCTTTAATAAAATGATTTTAAAATTAGTAACACTTTTTACAATTCGTCATGAAACGGAAGTTTTTCTGATGGCGGCATAGTGTAGCGAATGGTTCGCAAATTAAATCGTTTTGGATTTCCTCCAGTCTCATTTAATGATGTTGGTGGTCGTGTTTGTGAACCTGAGCGCATTAAATTCAATTTCCATGCGAATCCAAATCGACTACTTATACTTGTTCGATCACTCCAGCATGCGCTACTTTTTCGGCTATGTGTTACTGATAAATTATCGTCTATAAATGGTATAGGTTCATCATCATGTAGATGCTGTTTTATAGCTGTTTCAATAGCACTATTAAAATAGGATGTACGAGGTACTGAATATGAAAAATAAGACGATGGTGGTAAATTAGGTAAAACAGTTGAATTTGATTCTTCGGAAGTTTCAGATTCATTATAAAACGATGTAGAATTGGCTTGATCGTCTTCACTAGCTAGTCGCATAGGAGATGAAATTAAAAGCCTAGAAGAAAAAAATCGAGAAAGCGAAGATTTTTTTTAAAATTATACCTTTCTCCATCTACGTTTGTTCGTTGTTCAGGTTGATTTGCTTCACAATTTTTTTCATCGATAACATTCATTTTTACCGTTCGCTTGCTCAATATTGTAATTAACATGAGAATAACAACAACAAGGACAAGTAGAGCAAGAAGGCAAACACCATATAACCATATAGGATCTAATAGTGTTTGTTCGAAATATGTTGAGGGTATATTAATCTAAAAAGAAATCAACATATCGATTTTTTGTTCTCATCTTCATTTTGATCAATCATACACGATGTTTTACATCTTGATATAGTTGTTGCTGATGACGTTTGAGCGCAATTAAAAATTGATCATTAGTCAATGCGATGTCTTGACGATAAGGATCTTTAATAAATACAGCGACATATAAACGACGATCGTCTAGCTGTTCTTCATAACTCTGAATGATGACATGATCAGCCCTAAATGAAAACAATTGAAAAATAAAATAAAACAACTAAATTATGAAAATAAAACATATATATATATATAAATTTATCCCTATTTACCTGACAACATTTGCATCGTTACTTAAACAAGCTTGATGAGTTGTTGAACAAAATTTTCGTATAATTTTTGCTATACTCTGACGTAAATTGCGATATATAGTATGCTCAAAATTTTCAACTGTCGTATTTTCGACAATTAACGTTACACTACCACGAAGAGCGTACGGCCATAAATGATGATGTAAATGCGTGCTATTCATTGATTCTACCAGACACTATATAAACCAGTTGATGCGAGTAGGATAGTAATTACAGTTGACCGACTCTTTGTCCGTGATTTTTTTTATTCTCTTACGTTGAATGAAAAAGTAGTGGCCGTCGACTAGTAACAATAAAAAAAAAATTCAATGAACAATTGTGTGTCTATCCTTTATATAGAGGTGTGCGTGTGTAAAAGACACTAAAGGCTATTATTCCATGAGAAGAAGTGAATAGCCTTAATGACTCGTTGCATCATAAGACTTTCTTTCAATTTATTTTTACTCAAGTATTTCATTTGGTTAGGAGAAAAAAAAAGTACTCACATACGCTTCATTGCACGTTTGACTGTTTTGTTATTAATGCACACCTTTGTATATATTACTATTGATTACCAAACATTGATCTGCAAAGGACAAAGGAGAGAGAGAGAGAGAGACGCAGAGAACAAAAAGCGAAAATTTATTAAATCAAAATTTTCTTTTTTTCTTTTTGAACTTACTACACAAAATTTCAATAGATATCAAAAATAACCTATAGACGGTTATTATATGTATACAGTATATATGTCGTCTTATCGTTTGACTCTTCGATTGCAACTCTATCTGTAACCCTTGGGCTTTTAGTGGAAAAGCATGAAATCGATAATAGATGACGATAATATTACTTTAGTCGATGCCGTTGTTATTTTGATAGGCGAATTAAATCAAGATTGGTTACTAGTTATTGTCTGGAAAATAAAAGAATAACTCAAAGTGAACACAATGTATGTTTTATGTTCATTAGCGAAATGTATGAATTGAGTATGTTGGACACTCATTCTTTTCTTTTTGTTCTTTTTCTCTACCTCATTCTTCAGTGTCTCGACATATAAAGACAAGAGAGTGTAATTATCGTTGTTTCGTGTTGTGTACAATTGATGAAACGAAGACGAAAAGAAGTGAAAATATCGACACGTTCCTTTCCTATTAAATCAACAAGAGAAGTTTTAAGTGGTTGATGACGAAGAGTAGTAGTAGTAGTAGTAGTAGTAGTATGTACATGAGACAGAGAGAAACTTTCTCTCATCTTAATACCTGTAATCATGATGCATTGTGTTAATACACGCAATGTCGCCATTAACACAACGTGCTCAAACAAAAAAACAAAATCCAACGAGTGCCGCTTACATTAATACTTATTTTTTCTTCGTTTTCTTTTCTTTTTCAATAACATAAAATGAATAAGTATCCCGTAGACTGATCAATCGAATAGCCTTAAGTCGTTCACAAACAATATACATAATACGAACATGAATAATACCAATAAATTAAGTTCGAGATCGTTAGCATTTTCTGAATACGATCCAATTGAAAAAGTAAAATGAAATACTTTTCTTTTTTTTATTCTTTTTTAAATGTCAATTTTATGAAACTTTCAAAGAATACGAAGTATGGTTCAAATTTTCGACGTTCTCTATATCCACGGCCACCACCGTCAACCCCACGAACTGATCCATCACTTGATATAGTGTATCCATTTATTAACAGTCGTAGAAAGAATCCGTTAACTCATTCAGTTTTAATGGAAAGTGCAAGTCATCGATCGGGTTTTCTTCCGCATAATTATCGTTTAGAAAATACATTGGCATCAATTCGTCGGCAACGTTTAGAAAATAAATCAATCCCGAAACGTTCCGTCTCGACATCTAGAGTTAATACTCGTGCATCGCCGCGGTTGGATGTCTTTGGTAATTTAACAAGTAAAATGAGTAAATTAGCAGAGCAACGTTTAATTTTACGTGAAAAATCAAATAAAAACAAGCAGAATCCATCATCTCTGTTTGATAAACACGACAGAAGTCTTATTCTGAGTGATGGCGATTTTGCTACGGATATTCCAAATGCAATCGAAACACTTTTACAAAGTTCACCATTCAAGTCTACTATGGAATTAAATTTATTTGAAGTCTTGAAACGAGAACGTTTACAACAAGCGCGTTATCGACTTCTACCAATAAATCGAGCACCAAATGCTTGAAAATTTTTCAATTTTTTCATTACATAAATAAAATTTTTATGTACAGTTTTTTTTTTTAAATATTTTTTATATTTATATATTAAAACGAAGAATATTTTGAGTATATGAGATATAGAAATTATGATTTCAAATGAAATACGACTTTTCCCCATGTTATTGATAGAAATCTGATGATTATTTGTATTAAATGAAAAAAATAACGAAATTCGTCTGACAAATATGACATAAAGTGTTAAAATAATACGGCTCGCCCACGTAACGCGCTACTTCGTTGATCAAGTTTAAAAAACGTTTTTTTTCGTTATGGGCAGATCTAAGCGTAATTTCTGGTATATTTTTTTACCCTGATTATGAATTTGGACTTTTTGTTTCAGAAAACAATCGAGCTTTGGCTTCGAAAACCGCAGTTTAAAGTTTTCGAAAATCGTATTTTCAATTTTCTAACCAAGAAATTTAAAACAAAAATGCAGACTAATATACCATTCGATATAGAACTTGATTCTCTACAAAATGGCCTGTTTATTTTCTACGCTCGTTCCTCAGGGCAACTTCTAAGCTCTTGCACAGTTTCTAACTTACTGTACAATTATCGAGCTCCTATTTCAATGTAACAACTTGATTCTTTTTACAGAGGAATATATGTACGGCAGTGATCAATATATATAAATGTTAAAAATTTTTAAGCATGTTAAGTGCTTCAAATTTGGTCAACACAAAAACGCGTTACAGCGTTACGTTTGAACAAGCCGAATAATCGATGGAAGGAAATAAAATATTATTCTTAGGTGTTGTACATTTAAGATTGCCAATAGCAATCTTATTCAACACATTGATAAAAGAACGTGACTTTACACAAAACAAATATACAAAGTCAAGGAAAAAGATCCATTGCTCTAGTTGAGATTTTCTTTCTGACGGCATTCATTCTTTCATAACTGGAAAGAATCTGAAATTAATTAAAACCATACTATGAGTTCGATTTCAAAATTATGTTTACTTACATCTCTGATTAACATGAAAGTTGTTCTTAGGCAAATATGATTCTTGCAATCGATTTGAGAATCCAAATAACTTTTCATTCTTAACTTGAATTTTATGCATATGATTTTAAGAAGAGAATGTTACAAAAGTTTCAATTCTTAATGATTGTTCTGCCTTCAAAGATATATTTGATGCATAAAGCAGAAAATCTCCTACAGCTAGAGAAAAATAGTCTTTTCTCATTGTCAAGGACCAGAAAGATCGCTTTAAAAAAGAACTAATAGAGACAAATTAAAATGATGCTGTTCTATTAGTCTTCAGGCAACTTCTATTACGCCTAACTACGACTCCCTCCGACCGGTATGGGAGCGTAGTACTCCTTCAAGAATCAGACATATTTAGATGTCAACAGCGAAGCAGTTTATTTTTTCCTAAATTTTATCCTTTTTCTAAACAATTCCTTTACACCCTCTCCCTCATTTTTTTTCTCTTTGCTACACGCCTAGAACTTGTAAGGCTTTCGTTTTTAATGGTGACTATATTTTTTGCGCTTTTTACCTGCGAATAAATGTGTGAAAAAAATAAGCTCAACAAGAAAACTATATATTTTTTCTAGACGTTAATCGTTCATATAAATAATTTGTAAATTGATATTCAATCAAAAGGCTTTTTCATACTTTTCCAATCATCATAGTTTTTTTGCAAATACCTGTTGATACGGCGAACTTTTTCTTCTTCTGGATCCAAAGTGAAACTAGTTTGAATCCGAGTTTTTAACCGTAGTACATCCTTTCAGAAATCGACTTATGCTCGTTACATTTACAGACTAGTTGTTTTGTAGAAAATTCAAACGTTTCAACCAACAAAAGAAATTCTTCATTTCTTTTTTTTCTGGTATAATAAATACTCACATTGCAATATAGATCGTACACAAGTCAAGAGTTGAAGAAATAATAGATAGTGCCATTTGTCCAATATAGTAACTGTGAATTAAAACCATCGAAATACTTCATGGCACTTATAACATCGTCATCATACGGTTCACGTTTTTTCTTATCTTGTAGATTTTAATTTGGTTCTACGTAGGTCGAGCAAATCAATGTATCTATAACCACACGTCTCTTCTTGTTTTGGCATCTCTCTTGCGATATTTTTCTGTCTTTTATTTTGTCTGACACTTTCCCTTTTGGCCTTGCTACGATTTAGCGATGACTTTTCATTCAGTATCAGAATTTCTGCTGGTAGTTTATGTCTTCAAGAATAATGATCTATAGTAAATAGATCGGTCGATATACAGTGACATACAGCGTATCCGGAATGTCATTTACCACAGCATAAAATATCAAGGTTTCGAGCATCTTTCCGGCTAGATGAGCTGAAATCCCTTGTTTTCTGTGATGACGAAGAAGAATGCCATGTAAAATACATTGAACTCCATACATTGTTACATTTTTCTCCTAGCATTTGCGTTGTCTAAACTAATTCTACGAAACTTTACAAATAAAATCAGCCGTGAATCTAAGCAACATCAATTCAATTTCACTGATGTACTTGCATAACTGTTCACTAATAAAATCAGTTAGATATTCTAGAATCATTTGACGTATCCAATTCTAGAAATATGTTTGCGCTGATTATTTTTTCAAAAACTATTTGAATATTGATCAACAAATGATCCTACTAGAATCAAATTACTAGAAAGTATTGAATTACTAACGTGTTGTTTTGGAAAGATTCGATTTCGATTTGAATTATCAGTAAGAACATGAAATATTCATCGACGATCAGAAGAAAGATTCATCTATTCGATTTCATTTCGATTAAAATAAAGAATGGCTCTTTTTTCATGGTAGTTGACTTTCACCTAGAAATCTGTCTGATTTTCGAGTCTCATGGAAGCTTTGCATAGCGTACTGATGGACTTATGCTACAAAATTGGACAATAGTATATGAGATTTTTGAAATGACTATTGAAGGCAACCAGAAGTTCTAACACAGATGATGATTCCTTGCACAAAGAAATTAGATAAAAATGATAATGGCACACTCCATATAATTTCAAATATTTGTTGTTCATAGAAAATTATTGATTATTTTGCTATACTTTTGAACACCACCAAACTAGAAAGTTATCCAGATGATTATAAACTAAAGGGAATCGTTTATGGAGGAAAAAGCAAATACTTCGCTTTGTTGTGCGTGGCATGTCAATTAAATTCAGTTAAAAATAATATCACAGCGCAACCAAACATGAATTATTACCGTATAAATAGTTTTTGTTCGTCGACATATTTCTAGCTCTGATGCTCATGCCGCTTAATAAAAAACAAATTTTGTCTTGATTTCAAAGAGACCATTGGAATGTACTATAAAATGTTCGCAATAGTGCATTTCATGTTTTGCTTGTTTTCAATTCTATGAACTTAAAATAGAACACTCTATCTGTTAATAACATATTTCGATTGCTTTCTAGGTTACATTTCAGTCCGTACTCGACAGTAGCAATGATTTTTTTGCTGAAAGGAAAGCACGAAAACATCATAAATGGTAACCAGCTTAACCAAACATGCTCCGAACGAAATCAAATAACTTAATGCGAAAGTTTTTTTTTGTGAGGTTTCAATATTGTTGTTGAATATGTTTTGGCCTTTTATATCTTACTTGCATGATTAATGTACTATCATTAAACATAATATTGTCGATTAGATTGCTACAACCATTCAATAGACATATAGATTTGACTTTAATAATCGATTGAATGGATATATTGGTATCTATCAAAATGAGCGAAAAAATTTATTTCGATATTTTTAGATTGCTAAGATGAAGATTTAATATTGTCTGGTAAAATTTGTAAGTACATCAAAAAATGAAATGAATCAAGCATAATTAGTTAGAAAATTAATAAAAAGGAAATATTTCTTTATGTAATAAGTTTATTTCTTTTGTTTGGCTATGGTGTGGGTGTGTTTTAACTAGTTGTCCACAACCAAATCCTCAACCACGCCCACGCGTATCTTTATTTCGTTATATCTTTTGTGTCCGTTGTGTTTATTCCGTTAGCTCGATTGGACGATGATACTATTGACGAAAAACGCTAGCCAGTGAAAATAGATAACACAAGGAAACGGAGGAATAAAATGTCACTGACTGAATTTTAAAATTCAAAAAACAAATTTATGGAAAAATATACTCTTCGCTATTTTCATAAGGTCGACATTTAGTATTCGACATATTTTCTTTCGCTCATTTTAATGCCATTCGATATATTCTACGTAGTAGATAATAAAATCATACTGGACAGGAAAATAAAATCCTGCCTATATCAATGCTGAGGAAAATAAATCATTATAGAAAATCATCTTTGCTTTAGAGACAAAATATCATAAAAATTCAATTTAAAACTAAGACATTACGTTTATCCGTTAAAGCTTCGATAAAAACAGGCGAAAGAACTTTAGTCTTTTCTTTATTTTTCACGTATGTTTTTTAACATAATAAATGCAAATATCATTAAAAAAAAGTATTTTTTTTATTATGATGAAATTCTTTCTTTTGATTATAAAACACAGCAAGGGTCCTTTTCTTTTCGTGAACTCCTTGAAAGAAATGTTATTGTTGTTGCTGCACAGATGAGAAGAGAAAGAAGAAAAGAAAGTTAAAATTTGATTTTTGACTAAAAAAAATCCTACACTCGAACAACTTATTGTGTAAAAAGAAGTATTACCATAGAATCAACGTATACAGCGGCACTTCAATAGAATATTATATTTTGGCTTGAAGGTAAGTCGATGAATTGAGATCATAAGTACTTGAATCAGAAGAAGAAGAGAAAAATGAAAGAATATTCAAATGCTTTATTATTTTAAAGTAAAGAATACGAATAATTTCAATTGTTATTATTCAATGGGAACATCAAGCTTTACGCAAACTGACAATCTATATAATTATCAACAAATAGAGCCCGTTCTTGATTCTGCATCTTATATCTTAGGTAAACATAAAACAGCTGCTGTCAAGACCAATTTGAATCAGCTAAATAATAGTTCTAAACATCATAAACCAACTGTTGTTGAGACTCATTCGAATCAATTTAATAATAATACTGAACAACATAAAACAGTTGCTGTCAAGGCCAATTCGAATCAGCTAAATAATAATTCTGAACATCATAAACCACGAATTATTAATGGTTTTAAACTACCATGGAGCCCATTATTGACATCGAATTCGCAACGATTAGCACCAGTCTTGCAAAAGCCTCCTATTGTTCATAACCGACCAGTCTCACCCGAACAACCGATACTTGATTCAGATTCTTCACACAGTATGTCAACTCAAAATAAATATAAATGTGATCAATGTGGAATAGTCTTTGCATCTAATGATGCTTTATATAAGCATAAGGCAAGATTTTGTATTGGTGTTAAAGATTCTGGCATTGGGCGAGAACCCATTTATTCAGATGATGAGGACATCGAGGGTGATAGTGCTAATTATGCCAGTAATGGTTTTACTAAAAAGGGGCCTGCAAAAAAAGTTATACAACATCAATCACCACGAAAGAAGGTAAGCGTAGGATTAATTTTGTTTTTATAAATTCTCAAAAGTTCGTGACATTCTATTTTTTTTAACTTAATTCAATTCAAACATTTATTAGTTATTTGTAACGCCCAAATTTGTTGAAATCGCTTTTTCGTTTTGTTGTTTTTTCTTCGTACATGCATAATTATAAAACAAATCCGTTCGAGTTTCTCATAGAAACAACAAGAAGTCAATGAATGGAAATTACTACGTTCGATACGTGAAACCAACGACGACGTCGAAGATCCAGTATCGATTTATACTCAAAAATTTATGAATAATATAAAAACACAAGATGAAATTTATAATGAAATTCTTGCCGACGTAAGTGATATTCTATTTCCTTTAAACAAAGAACGATTTAACGAGCAAAGAGAAATAAATGGATTAAATATTTATTTAATTTTTTATTCTCTTATAGCATAGAACACAAAAAAAAACAGCAGATCTCATATTTTTCTTTACTTTGATAAATAATATATTTGAAATTTGACTATTTTCTTTTCAAGTACGAACGATTACAAAGAAAACAAAAAGACGTTATACGTCAAATGTATGATTTACAAGTCGAATCTGAATTCGTACAAGATCGTAATATTACTCTCAAGCAAACGAATACATCAACGGATAATCGAAGCGGCCAATTTGAAGAATTACACAGAAGAAATAATCGTCTTGGAGACGAACGCCGACGTAAGTATCTATTGCTCTCTACATAAAACATCATGTGTCACTTGCTGTTTGTTTGTTGGTTTCATTTAGTTATTCAAGAAAAACTTGAAGACTTAATATCAAATAATTATCAGCCAACAAAAATGTCAGGCTATGACCCATATAGACTTTTACGTGACATGAAGGAGCAACAAGAGCTCAATGAAAAAGCTTTAGATTTTCTACGAGAGCGTCTTATCTATGCGTCTGGGTATTCGTTTATTTTTAATAGTAAAATAATGCGTCTGTTTTCTTTTTCTTTCGTCGAATAATGAATTGTCTAGCGTACACGATACGGCATCTGCACCATATGCTAACAATCGACTGCGACGTGCAGTTGTTGAAAATGTCAGGTATAATATTAGCCTAGTTGATCTTGAATTCTGTTGCAAGAGATAAACATGTGCTTGACTGTTGTATTCACAGTATGAAACGATATTTATAGATAGTTCTGCAAGATACTGAGACAAACAAAGCTTTTAAGTATGAAAATATTTTCTGTGAGAAGTCTTTCGGTTGATACTTTAGAATTAAGAAAACCGATGTTGACTCTACTGTTAATGGATTGATTATTTAATTTGAAAGATCGACACAGATCAGCTTTCAGCTTTTTTTTACATCTGAGACGATGAGCATCTTATCTTATATCTATGCTATGTCTAATACCATTTTAATTGACTGGAGTATTTGAATGTCATGATGCGTGCGTTTAGTTTTACATTTTAAACCAATGATAAAAATTGCTAAGAATCTTCTTTGCTAAAGAACAAAAGCCCCGCATTATGACGTGGTTTTTTTCGTCGAATATGTAGAAAAAATAGGTTCCGTGACCTTTTGACATCGTTCTTCGGAGCGATATACTAGGGCAATTAGTAATGAAAAATATTTTCAAACATGTCAGAATAATCACTTCATGTGTTGATTAGAATACATTGTTTTTTTTTGCGTAGAAACTCACGCAATGAATATTTGAATTCTGGTGGTCATGATGCTGCTGTTATAGCTCGATATAGTGATCTTGAATATAAACTAAATTTATATAAAGAATATCCATCGGACAAAGATTATCCTGAACCATTAAAACCAGCTAAATGTCTGTATTTGATAGGCTTGCATTTTTTTTTATTTCTCTTCATCAATCTATTTTTATAGATCAATATGAACCTCGTATTGACCCATTAACTGAAGGATTAAAATCAGTCAATGAAGAAAGTGAACGACTACACAATGAACTGAAAGAAATGCATCGAAAATTTGATACACTTAGTTCACGTATTTACTCCTGTTCATATTGTCAGTGTAAATGAATTATCTCTTTTTAATTGCTTTTTTAAGGTACAAAACAATTGGAACTATCGTTAGCAGCAAGTAAAGCGACAGATCCAATCGATCAATATGACCCTTATGCATCGTCCACAAAGTATTTTTCATATCAATCAGCTTCAGCTGCTCGTGACAACAATAATGATAAATATAATCAGCCCAAAGATAACCAACAAAAGGCATTATCTACTTTCGATAAACATGTTACATCTCGTTCAAGTCCAGCTCTGAGTCTTTTAGCCGCAAATATGAATCCATTACGTAATTCGCTTGGTCCTCAAGCCTATGATCCATCCATGGGTTTCGTTATATTCTTTGATTTTATTCTTTGTCTTCCGTCAAAAATCGAAATATGTACTCTAATAGCATCTATTCATCACCCAAAATCTGGTCTCGGTGTACCATCACCATTACCGCCACTAAGTTGTGAAGACTATCTTGATGATAAAACTAGCGAACGTTTTCGTGTTGCTATAGTTGCTACAAAACAACCTATACCAAGGTTTGCTAATTAGAAATGATGTATTCACTGTTTCTAGAACATGTTTCATTATAGTTGCCCACCACAACAAGCATTAACTATTGTCATCGAAGTACAAACATCAATGAACAAAAAAGCATCAGTCGACGAACTAGAGACAAATGCGTGGACAAAGTTTGCATTATTTGATAGTAAAAATCGTCTATCGAGTGGCCGATGGAAAGTACCGCTGAAACGATTGCCCGTTAGTTATCATGAACATCTTGGTGTTATCAGAAACCTTGCAACAGTAAATAATTAGCGTATATTTTATTAAGCGTCTTTAAAAAAAAGCGTTTTTTTTTAGTATGAACGTGCTGAATTATATTATCGATTAGTTAATTCACAAGATGCAGACGAACAATCAGGCGCACCTATATCACCTAAATTTCGAGAATATTATACGTATCCCTTACAAGTAAGTTGATTGTTAACCATAAATGATATGTATTATTATAGCGAACAAAACTTGTATAATATTAATTCAGAATAGATAATAAATTTAAGTATGATGATTCATTAAAATAGTCTCTGAAAATATTTAAGCAGCGTCTTGTTACAAAATCGACCTATTAGGTTTCTTCACGTAAATGGAATCGCGCAAGTTATTTATTTAGATTCTATGAACGTCATTTTCAGGAAAAACGTTTTGAATAGCTCCGCCAGTCTTTATGCTAATCATGCAATATTTAGATCAGTAATCAGATTTAAAACGAGCTCTACTAGATTCTGTTGAAGACTCAACGATTTGCATAAATGTCCATTATTTTCTTCTTCTTCTTTAATCCATGAGATAGAAATCGACACGATTCCTTTGAGATGAGACTGTGTATGACGCTCTGGTGCTTTTAATCTCGTAGGCGAGAATGTTGCTTCTACTCAACAATACAACTATGAGAGCATTGCTTTTAGAACAGTAGGATGATCAGTAGTTCTTCATGAATAAATAAAAAGCAAAAGAAAGTCAAAAATCGTTATATATGTATACAAAGTCTCCAAGGAATCGAGTAAGTTTCTATATTATTGATTAATAATGATGGTCATTGAACTGAATAATCATGTTTTTCGATACGTTTGAAAAGCAAAATCTCCTTAAAGCTGAATTCAGACTGATTATTAACTTAACGTTCTGTTTGATGATGATAACGGTGGACAGAACTATTCGCAAATCTCAATCATAATAACTTTATTGAAAATTACTTCTCCATGATTCTATTCATTTCTTCAATTCTAGTTAAATAAAGTATACTACTTTGTTTACATGAATAACGTAAATTAGTAGAGCATTGGAAAAGGAATCCATATAAAAGAAAACCATTCTTTCATTCCATTAAAAAAAACTACTTAGAAATATGTAAATTATTCGAGCTCTCCAACTTTAAAGGTCGCTTGTTATTTAATTACGAAATATAAATTTAATTATTATCTTTAGTAAATTAAAATGTTGAATCTTCTATTTTTTATTATCACTATATCTCATTAAATCGTACAAACATATAAAACAAGCTAAATTCAACATCCCATATTTTTTGTTGTGCTCTAATAATTCAAAAAACAACGCATTTTTACAATAGCCTGTCGTGTTAAACAATTTAACTTATACATCTGTTGTCTCGTTTTAGTATCGAAATTGATCGTAACTACAAGACGTAAATATTATCATTTATATATATATATATATATGTATTCGTTGTGTATTTCTATTTCTCTATAGAATTTATCAAACAATTTTCCTGTTTTAAAACTATCAAAACTTCTGTATCCGGTGTTTTATTTCATCTTTGTTGGGAACTATTCTCTTCATGTATATAAACAGTTTTCTTTTCTTTTTTTTTGGAAGTTTCTTCATAGACTATTATATTTGGGTCATTTTTTTAAATGATGAAAATGCAAATGAACAGGCAGAGCAGGCAGAAACAAAAACAAAGAGAAAAAAAACGAACAAGCAATATAAGTAGATTTTCATTATTGGAAATTAGACGACACGAGGAAAAGAAACAGAACATCATTCCAATAAATAAAACAAAAAAAGCTTCCATCTAACAAATCTTCTATTGTGTCGACATTTTTGTTTTCAATCTGTCAAAACTACTTTGCTCATTTAATATAACACACGCACAAAACATTGAGACAAAAGAATTTTCAAGGTTTTACAAAGAAGAATGCACACACGCACACAAAGTTGAATGTCTATCTGTGTTCTCGCATAATTACTCGTCAAGTTGTTGTTTACCTGAAACAGAGAAATAAATATTAATTATCGAATATTAATTGGTAGATATTAACATGCAGTAATAAAACAAAGTACTAATAAGATTAGGAGGGAGAAGAGAACACGAACGACAAATGAGACAATATCGAGAAACGAAAGGGAAAAGAAAGTGGTTAGTTACTACTTTGAAAAGTAGTAGATGCTGTTGACTTTGAATAATAATCGTTCGGAATAGATTCGATAGACGAAGGAGGCATATGCGCACCTCCTAAAGAACCGGGATACGAGTAAAATTTCGTTTTAGTATTATGACCGATTAGTTCGGCGTCCGAAAACGTCGATGTTGATGATTCTTTTTGCGGGCTCTTATTTACAAACGAATTTAAATTAGATTCTGTTTGCGATAGTCGATCGTGTTGATAGTGTATCACAGAATGAGTTTGAGATGATGACGACGGTGAACTAGATATGATTCCTGATAAGTCACGCTTATCATGGTCAGTTAAATCTTGACTAGATATATGAGAACATTGACCGGTATTGTCTCCATCATCCATGGAGTTTTTATTTGAATTAAATATAACTGTCGTGGCATCTGACTGCGATGACAACGGTTCGCTTGATATTGATGTTGGCAGATCATCAGGTATGGATTCAATTAAATCATCAAGGAGATTTTTAATATCATTCGAAGGTGATATTGTATAGGATTCTGATGATGATGCTGATGGCCAGTAAATTTGAGGTAGATTTATAGTAGGACAATTATCAGAAGTTAAATTTTGCGTAGTATTATAATTTGAGTCTTTTTGAACTTTCGATAGAATAATATCACTATGTGTAGCGGTTGCTTTTAAATCATCACGATCAGGTTCGCTTTCAGCATCGTAAGCATAATAGGATGTAGATTTTTTTGTTGTTGATGAATAAATATGTTCATGAAAATGGGGATCTTCTTGTTGATGAATTAATTCTAAGTCGGTTTGCCATGATTTTAAATTTGTACGAAGAATTCCTTCTTGTAAACTTTTACGAATTGATTTATCATTTAAATCCGCTGATGGTGAATCAAGACTTTCTCGACGATTTAAAGCTTCATTAAATTCACATTTAAATGAAAGATTTTTTACTGCTGGTGACTCCGATACATTTGGTATGTCATTCGGTCGTTTTCTTCGTTGTGTTACACGCTGCTTTCCTCCACTGTTTTCTTCACCTGCACCGGAATATTTTTCATTTTGTTGAACAAATGCTGCGGAATTTTTATGAGGCAATTTTTCATCTGACCTTGATTTATTGTAGGGTTTATTTATTGATGTTGTTGTTGTTGTTGTTGTTGTTGTTGTTGTGGCACGATAATATGTGTCTGTATCCGATTGAGAATTACGACGAATAATTGGTAGAATCTGTGATGTTGAACTTTCAATCAATTCAAAATATGTGGCATCCGTTTGTGTACGACGAAACATTTTTGAACTTAATCTTCGATATTTTATTGGTTCTTGTGGTTGTTGTTCTTCTTCTTCTTCAAGTAGATCATCATCGTCGTCATCCGACAACGATGATGATGAACTACTTATAGATAGTTTATCACTTTCTTTACTTGAATTTGATTCATCTTGTTCGCCAGTTAATTCTACAACAACATCATACAATACTTGATCAACTAAATCAGTTGCCACTCTATAAATTTCCGCTTCCGTTTTTATATGTTGCAGTTCAGTTACACAAAATGTTAATGGACGTTGACAACTACTCGTTGGTTCTAGCACATCGGAAAATGCTGATATCGGAATATTGTAGGATTCTGAATGTTCTGGACTTGATTCTTTTTCAATAACATCATCGAATGGTGTTGAATATCGGGGATTTTGTAAAAGTTCTAATGAATTATCTTTTGATATTGTTGTTAAAAATTCACTTGACGTTTCAGTACTTGCTGGCACTAAATTTTTACGTTTAGAATCTTCGACAGTTAATGATGATTCTGATAATGTCCGATGTTGTATTTGAGAACTTGTTAATAATGATGAATGATCGTGTTTAACAGCATATTTCATATTATAGACTTCGGGACTACGAATAAGTTTACTTTTTTCTTCATCATGTAAATCGTAAGCCGATTGAAAATGTTGTTGTGGACTTGAAAATTCTTTTTCATTAATATTCAATCGTAGATTATCATTTTTATCGGAATCAGTAGTTCGTTGTTTATGACGATTGTCTATTGTTTCTTGTACCATGTCAACTGATTTACTAACAAATGATTTAACACGATCAAATGGACGAGCACCAGTTGCCTTCATTAATGAATTTTGTTCATTATCATCATCATCATCATCATCATCTTTTGTAGGCGTTGTTAAATCATTACCATCCACTAAACATGATGCTGATAGAGAATGATTGTCGCATGTATGAATAGATGATGTACTATAAAGACTATTGTCACTGGTTGTTCGTCGAGTATATAATTGATTTAGTTCAGTCTCTGTAGAATGATAATCAAGTGAATCAGTCGACTGTTGATTTATAGAATCTTCACTGATTATCATAGAATCATGAATTATATTTATCTGTTGTTGATATTCGGATTTAGTTAATGTCTTGTCAAGATTATTCTCATCGGAAGATGAATGTCCTTCATGACTTACAGTTGAATAATTAGTTAATTTACATTCGTCATCACCATTATAATTTGTATGGATGAGTAGTTGTTCTTTTTCAATAGATTTGCAATTTTCAAACGAATATTTTTCTATTTGTTCTTGTTGATCATCATAGCGTGACATACGTCGAAGGTAATCCAATTGTGCAGCTAATTCTAATGTTCTATCGGTAGTTGGATCTTCATGTGAAATCTCTAAATCATCAGATATACTTGTAACTGACAATTGATGGTTTGGTTTAGGATGTTGACCAACAATAATTGTAGGAATAGATTTAACAACTGTTGGAAAAACATTTGATGATGACTATAATTAAAGAATGAACAACACATGCAATCAGTACTTTTGTTCGTTTAATATATAAGAACAATTTTCTCTTTGATGTTCTTGATATTTGTCTCCTAGAGGATATGCTTTGGTTGTTTAAAATTCATTTGAGATGATATAAATTTATTCTCAGTAGATTTCATAAGTTAGAAATATTCCTCAATGAACGATCTCTACTTTTGTAGGAGATGAAAATCATTTCTGCTTTAGATTAATAACACCAGATGTAACAAGGTCAAATGAAAATTTTTACCGTCATACTAGTAAATAAAAAAGATGCAATGCCATTTACGTGAACCAAATAAAATATCACTTCTACACGAAAGATTTCACGCAATGTATTATTAAGTTGTTAGTTTGAAATCGAAACGAAAACGTCTAGTTTTATGTGTTTATTCATCTATTATAGTCGAATTAATTAATATTTACCTCAGCTAACATAATATAGTGTGCTTCTTTAATAATATCATCGACTAAAGTTTGTGCAAGATGATTTTCGCAGTCTTCATATTGTAATCGATCGATATCGTTTGTCGATGTTTTAAATTCAAGTTCTTGTTCGAGTATAGCTGAATGTGCTGATGGCTGTTGTTCTTTTCTATTTGGACTCTGAATAATTCCACTGGACAATGAATCACGACGAAATTTAACTAAATCTTGTGATAATGATTCAATATTGGTTGATGTAAAAATTTCTTCGTGTATACGATTATTTAATTGTTTTGAAACATTTTGTAATTCATGAATTAAACCACCGAGTTCATTAAATGATTTTGATGATACGGGTGGTTGATTTAAATTTTTGGGTGAGTCAAGTCGTTCTTCAAGTTGATCTTCAATGTTTTCTAATTCAGAAACAAGATTTGTCAATTCATTCACTGATCGTGTTGTAATTATTTTCGGAACAGATAATTCAAATGCCTGATATTCGTCATTATCAAATAAACTCGAAGATGATGATGATGATGATGATGATATTGGACGATTGTCATGAATTTGATATTCCAGTGATTGTAATTCTTGAATAAGACTACCAAGCTCTTGAGTTGATTTTGATGTAATTACGTCAGTAACAAATAAATAGGGTTGATCAGACATTTGTGGAATTAATTTTTGATTTTCTTCATCATCAACATCCGATGATAGATACTCATCATCGTATTCCTTTTCTTCGATTTCATTATCACCACTAGTACTACTTCTACTCGATGCTGGTTCGGCTAAGTTAAATTCATCATCACAATTTTGAAAAATATTCAAAATAACATCATTAACAATTTGACTTGCAACTTGATATAATGAATAATCTTGTTCATAGGTAACTATTTCTAAAATAGCATTGTTTAGAATTTTTTCAACAAGATTATTTGATGCTTCAATAAGAAGTTTATCATATTGTATATTATCTTCCGATAGAATATTCATTTGATTTGTATCAGATAATATATCAAGATGTGTTGGACGAAATGGACTTTCTTCAATATATTCTTCGTCAAAATCATCATCCATATAAGATGATATTGTTTTAGAAATAATACTCGAACATTTTATATGAGTTATTGCTGATGAATCTTCACATGGTATAATATAAGCATGATTGTAGTATGGATACGATGGATAATCATGAAAATTTTCATCATTGATATCTTGTTCAAAACTTAACGAACCATGCTCGACTTGTTCAGGACTCAATGATGGCGATGCGAATATATTTGATTCCATCTGACTAGAAGAATTATTTGGTTCAGCAGCGAATTGATGTTCATATTCATCGTCGTCTTGCTGGGATTGTGGAGATGATATCACTTGAGATTCAGTTTCGGTTGGCATTTGTTGCGGTTGATTGTCAATGAAAGTTACATCGTTAACCTTTGCTTCCTGTTGAGTCATTTGAGAAGATTTAATAATTTGTTCTTGTGGAAATTCAATATTTTCCGGTGATACTGCGTCTTGCTCGTCAATTAGGATTGATGGATGTCGCAATGTAAAATTTTCGATGTCATGTGTGATTTCACAGTAGGGTAAAATCGGATGTCGCTGTTCAGTTGTTATAAATGATTCGGCATGAACTTCGACATCATCTTTCGTTTGTTGAGTTTTTAATTTTGCTGGTTTTTTTGACCATGATGCAACAAGCATTAAATCGCTCATAATTGCTCGAAGATTTTCAATAGTAACGGGTTGCGATAGTGATTCATTGTGACTTGTTGATGAACGTTCAATAAACATCGACCGTTGTGCGTCACCTTCATAGAAGTTAGCACTTGAAATCTGTGCATTTTCCGGTATAAGCGGTTTTTTTTTACTAAAATTATCCATTTGTTTATCCTGTTCAGTAGTTTGATATAACGATCGATGTATATCACCTTCATAGAAACTTTCAGCGCTTACTCGAGCATCTTCTGGTATCAAACGAGTTTGAATTGATGTAGGAGACTTTTTTTCTTTTGACACTTTGTTACCTTCAAAAAATATATCACTTGTTACAACGGGACTTTCAGGAATAAGACGAGTGTATGTTGGTTTCGATCTAATAATTTGTTTGTTTGAATCATTTTTTATTGATTCAAAATGTTCGACGATACTCTCCGATGGCGAAGGTCTAGCAATTCGTATTTGCTGAATAATATATTGTAGTCCGCGAAGATTTTGTTCAAATAATTCAATAAAATGATAATCATCATGATTCGATGTTTTCTTAAAAGCATTTTCTAATTTATCTAATTCATATTCAATACGTAAGTCGTCTTGTTTACTTGCATGAATATTACGAATAAGCAATTTTAATTCATTAAATTTTAGTCGAAGATTATTTAGAATTGTCGATGTTAATTTATTATGTTTTAAATAATCAATAATTAAATAGATCTCATCAATTTTATCATCGAAATTGTCAAATTGATCTTTATTTCTCAATAGTAAAGATGTGCGAATTTTTTTCATTTCCGCTAATTGTTCATGTGGATCTATTGTTAAACTTTCATTTTCTTCGGATATTGAATCCTTACTTTTATTATCTTCGTCAATATTTGTTAATGGTTTTTGAGTGAGCGATAAACGTGCTGCGTCATTTAATCTTTTAGTAGAAATTTCTTCGTCATCAGAATTATTATCATTATCATCATCTATATAAAATGTATCTGGTAATTTAATACTAGCGCGTTTCATAATGGGAGAAGAAAATGTTTTCAAATGTTTTTCTACTTCAGAATTATTGATTGGTTGTGCCACCCAATAGGAATTTTTTGCTTTAACGAGTATATATGGACTTCTAGGTGACACAGCGTCATAATGTAATTCAATTGAGTCTGGCAATCGTTCGTTAGTGGGCGATGTTTGCATTGACGACGATCGTTGAAGAATGTCTGGCTTATGTCTATCAACAGATGATGTCGCATCATCGATTTTATGATTCGAACCAAATTGATCTTTCAGCGATTCGAGTATAGTGCCAGTTATAGCTGTGACACCTTCGTTTACAGCTAAACGCGAACGAAATACGGATAGTTCATGTTCAGTAGTTAATAGTTCGGAATGTAATAGAGGAGATTCTGTTTCAAGAAGATTTGTTATATTTTGTTCAAATGATAGCTTTTTTGGTAACGGTAAACGACGATGACGATTTTGTGATTGTAAATCAATATCGGAATCTTTTTTTTCTTCTTGATTATGATTCAACGTACTATTACCGTCATTCCGATTTGTCATTGTTGATGAAATAGCGTTAAAACTTTGAAATTTTACATTTGAAGTTTTATGTGGCATATCCGGTGAAAATTTAGATGATGCTAGAGTAGCGATATGAAAAGAAGGAAAAGAAGAAAAACTTGAAGAAGCAGAATTAGAAGAAACAGAGATTAATAATGATAATGGTTCTGATCGTGATGATAATGATGATAATGGTAATTCTTCTACTTTGCTGGTAAGAGTAGCTGTAAACAATAGAAAACAAGGAAAAAAAACGAGATGTAGTATTTCAGCAATCACTTCATTTCTTCTAGTTCTTCTATTTCTCTTTTAATGGGTTAGATTGGAACAGAACGCGAGAAAAAAACAACAGAAAGAAAATCTAGCTAACACACAGAAATGTCACTCTTGTTTTAGGAAAAAGAATAGCAAAAAAAAAAGAAACAGAACAAATATATATATGGAGAAAAAACGAGAAAATTCTTTCTCGAGCAGGATTCTGTGTGTGATACGGTTCGCGCATTTTGTGAAGTGGAAAAAAAGTGTAACAGGCAGATTCAACATCATGCAAGCATACAAAGCGAACGAAGGGAAATAGGTTTAATAATAAAGAAAAAACGCTAAGCTAGTCAGCAAAGCAAGCATGTCAAAAGAAATGTCTTTTGGCTTTGTTCGAATTTTGTTTTCTTTACTTTGATTATCGTTTTACTACTTTTCTTTCTCCTATTGTTTACACGTATTCAGCAGTCGCGAGTGAATGCTAATAATAAAAGAAAAAGAAGAAAAAGAAGAAGAAGACGATGATGACGATGAAGAAGAAGAAGAAGAAGAAGGAGTAGATAGATGAAGGCACAGAAAATTAAGATGCAGGGAAAATGTAAAAGAAACAAAAAAAATTCAGAAATACAACAGCAATAAGAGCAACAAAGTGACAACAAACATGCAAATAACAGAAATGTTATTTTGTAACCGTATCACACACACAATCCCTTAGAGAATATATGTTTAACATTAATATATATATATATATACACAAACATAATGCAATATATGGTATTCGCGTATATAAAAAGTTTAATTTGTTTAGCTACATGCGGTGTTTAGTTTTATTAATTCTAATAATCCCATTCTCAAAATCCATGCTTTATCTTCGCTTACATTATTGATTTCTCGATTCATTTTGAGCTAGAAAAATGATTTATTAAGTTTTTTTTGTTTTATTGATTGATTGATTTATTTAATATATAGTTTTTTTTTAATATTCTTAATCTCAAAACTATGAGATAGTTAAGATGTTGTTTTCATTGTTATGTTTACCTTGTTTATCATCGATTGATTGAATATTTGTTGTTTCGAAATTATCTGAATAGAAAAAGAAAAAAAAACGAAATTGAAATTTAATGTTTCATATATATATAAATAAATATTTCATATAAAGATATAAAAGTTTCATTCCATATTGAACATGCGTTCACGCCAAACGCAAACCTTGATGATGAAGATTCTGATTGTATTGAGCAAGAACTTCTGTCAGAAATGTCATATCGCATTCATCAATCGGTTCGCTATTATCTTCAATTATTTCGATTACAGGCGTCGAAGCTATTTTTTTATAGAGAAAATGAATTAAGTTAAACAGAAACAATTTTTTTAACGCAAAAAAGCAATATTTGGTTTTGCCATGCCAATCGTACAGGAATAACATTAAACAAGCGAGAAAAATAGGGAGGTAAACGCACATGCCAGGAATGTTTTATTCGTGCTTGGTATGAATGATATGCGATAGATTCTACCTTCATTTGAGTTCTCAATATTATATGGTTCAGCAAGTTCTTCATCGCTATCGTCTGTATCTAAACATCGTGGTGTTGTTGTACCACCGGTATTAAATGTACTAGCTGCTGATACATATGTTGGACTTGTGGCGGATGATGACATTGAAGGAAAATTATCAAAACTTTCATAGATTGTTGTCATTGAGGATGATGCTATCGATGATGTTGTTTCCAATGATGAGGGAAGTGCAGGAAGAGTGAATGGTAATACTGACATTTCTTGATTGTCATCATTTAAACTTCCGTATGAGCCATGTAAATTGTCATAATCGGATATCAATGAACGAGTCGGAGTTACGTTGCCAGTATTTTGTGATAGAAATATGGTATTATCATATGTGGCTAGATCATTTGAGTCAAAACTGTCTTGTTTACTATTAGTTTGTAATAGATTTGAAGTATTAGAAGTCTGATTACTATTAGAAATTGACGCTAAGGTATTATCAAATTCATCATCGGTACTATGGGTTGTTTTTACTGATGCGAGAGTATGCTTCGATGAACTTGTGATGGTTACTGATGTTGTGAATGTTGGCGTTGCTGTTCTTGTAACAATATCAATCAATGGTGAGACTTTTTTAGTTGTGTTAGAAGCAGCAGTCGATGAAACAGACACAAGTGGGCATGTAGTAGTCTGAGTGGGTAATATATGAGATGTAATTAAAGAATGAGAGAGTGTTGATGTACTGTCACATGATGTTTCTAGTTGTGTAAGTTTATCAAATAAAACTTTTTCGTCATTCATAGTTTTAGTCGATTCAGCAGCTTGTTGTTGAATTGTTGCCAAAATATTTTCTGCTAAATCATTAGCCAATTGAGTGATTTCAATTGGAATGTTTTCATCGGACGACTGCTCTAAACTACTTCCATTAGTTTGACCCGTAGAAGACGAAAAAGATGTGATTGCCATCGGTTTTTCTGTATGATTTTCAAGTGATTTTATTGATAATGGAATATCAGTTTTGATTGCAATGGAAATCGGTTGAACGGAAAACGATTCGGCATGTTTTAGACTATCCGAAATTTGACGATTAGCTGTTTGACTCGTTGTTGATGCTCGTCTTAACGCGATAATATCATCATCGTTTTGATGTAACTCATTGAATGTATCAAAAAGAGATAGAACTTTTCTTACAGCATCATTTGCTTCTTGTAGTAAATTTTGATTACTATCATTTTTATAAAGTGAAAAATGTCTCGGTGGTTTCACAGGTGGTGGTGAACTAATATCCACAGACGATGATGAACCTGATTCATCGCCAGCTAAACGTGGCGGTTTAGCAGGTGACACTGCTAATGGAATTGGACTTGCTGATTCAAATGATGAATCGATAGATATTTCATTTAATAATTGTTGATCAGTATTTTCAACGAGAATAGCTGATGGATTAGAAAATAAATAAACAGTAGGTTGATGCGCATTGTTTGTTTGTTGTTCGGTTAGATTTCCATCGAGAGATTTCTTTTTTATCATCGTTCTCTTTAGCGGCCTAACAACGGCATGTTTCAGTGCATGGGCTAATGCACGTGCTGGTTCAGGTATTAAACTCGATTTTATTAAACGATCTGTTACAGGTGTTTGATTAGCACGTATAGGTGCTGGAAAAGAATCATATGAAAACTGAAGAAAAAACGCGGATTAGAAATCACTTACGTATATCATCGAACGCGTGAGCTGTTTGTTCAGCCAATTGTTCTACTGCCGGTGTTTGATCATTTAGATCTGATTGAATATATTCAAGGTCTGATGCAATTGGTGTTGCTTCTTGTACAATATTAACAATACCAAAATCACCTAATTTTGATGAAGATCTTTTCGATTGAAATTCTAAATAAATAACAAATTTTCATTGATTACTTTTACGGTTCATTGGATTCGATTTATTTTTTTAAATTTTACTTAAAGTTCGCCGATTAGTTCTACACAAGCCACAACATAATATTCGATTTCCACTCATGCAGAGTAACGGCATTCCTAATCGATTAGTATTCTGGTGTCTAATTATAGAATACTTGGTCTAAGCATACAAATCTCTTTTCTTCTTTGCCAGATGCGCGTTTATATCAAGTATTTGCTGGTATATATATCAGCAATATAGTACAAGAGAAAACAAGTCCGACTCGCTCTACTATGTTTTCTTTTTGTGTTTCTCTTTTTTATTCGATAGCAAAAAGAAGAATATTTGCAAGATGATGAGATACAGATGAAGCAAAGATTTTTCTTTTGCTCTAAGAACTAATAAAAACAATGGCGTGCATTTAGATTCACCTTGTAAATGAATGGCAAACATATAGAGATTGCTAATCGAAGAAAATAACAATATGAAGATAGATTATATCTGTATGAATAATTATTTTATTTATAGAAATTAGATACGCGACTCAGTCTCTTTTTTTTCTACCGCTCTTCAATGAGCTAGAAGAGATAATAATTACTTCTTTTTACTTATAAACATTGTTTTGCTTTCAACAAAAAGAAACAAAAGGGGTTCTCATCAATCATATTACCTATTACCGACGATGGCATTGAACTGTAACGAACGTAACAAAAAATGACTGTCAGCGTATAATTATTTCAAACGTTTACAGCTTTGACAATCTCCACTCAAAAAATGCCGCTTCAATAATTCAGATCGTAATTTATTATGATCATCTGTTGACTAAGTTGAAGGCAAACATGTCTCTTTTCTTTTGATATTATTAGAAGAGAACATGAAACATCCTGATTAACAGTCGACAAATGCACTAGAGAATTTGGATTGCGAATAATACTGGCATCTCTGTGTCAATGATGAAGATTATTCGTACCGGAAAAGAATAAAAAAAAGAAAATTTTCTCGGCATCGTCTAACATTTAATATTCATATGACGAATGCAGACGGCTTTTTTTCACTGTTCCATTAAAATGTCAAAATTACAGGGCGTCAATTATTGCTTTTTCTTCTCTTTACAATGATAATCATTGTGTGCGAGTGGCAAAAGCTTTTTCCTTTTGACCTTTATATTAGTAAGAAAAGAAAACTAAATCGTACTTGCATTATAACAAATAATCTTCACTGTAATTCTCTTAACTATGAACGACAATGACATATAGTCATAAATTAAACAAATAACATACCCAAACTAGCTTTTGGCGTCATTCGTCCTTCATCCATATCTGTGATTCGTTGTTTCTGTAAAACACTATATGGATCATCAAGATCAGCTAAAGATAAAAGAAAGAAACAAAAAAAAATAAAATATTGTATATTGCACAAGAGCAAAAAAAAATGGGATAAATATAATGACGTGAACACAACAAATATGAATGGGGAATATCGCATGCGGGAAACCCAAAGGACTTCATTCAAAAAAATAAAAATAAAGCAATGAACCTTTATCGTATGATAATCTATTTAGTTTTTCTCTCAAGCTTTCAAGATGCATCATTTCAAATGGATGAGCTTGATAGCTTAATGGCGTTATTGAACCTGAGTAATCCTGTGTATTATATATGGAATAATAGCCCCCATAGCGTGATGCTGGTGTAGGTGCTTTACTTGAATCAACAAAATGTAAAGGACCATCACGTTCACCTTTAAACATAAACGAACAACAACAATAGATTGATGAACAAATAAGACAAAACAGAGGACAAAATGAAAGGCGACGACGACAAACAACAACAAGACGAAATGTTTATTATTTATAGACCTAAGTTTTCTCTCATGGCAACAGTAACGATTGTATCTGCACTTGATGTTGATGATGATGAAGGAATGCAATCTTTTGAACAATCACGTTTAACCATTTTACGTGGTTCCAACTGTTTAAATTGTGACACATTCGCGTCCGTTTTTGCTTTCTTTCCTCCTAATTCATCTTCAGCTATTTCTTCTAATGTTATCGTTTTTATAATTGTTGTTGTTGGTATACGATTAGTTTCATCATTTAGTAAATCTTTATTGTTTAATAAACAATCTGCATGGACAGGGAGAGAAAAATAAATAATTACTTACTAGATTTTCCATGTCGACGACGTTCAAATTCATCATCACTTTCAAAGCCTTCATCCAACTATTTCAAACAAAAACAAATAATTAAATAATTACGAGAAAAACAGATACATACACGTCGTCCACTAATTGCCGCTCCATCAACGCTACCACCTCGACTATTAAGACGAGCTCTAGCTAGTTCTTTCTCGGCAGCATCAGTGACCCATTCGATATTGAATACACAATTATGAACAATATTTTCTTTTCCAATTTTACGTAGAGCTTGTTGAAGGCAATTTCCTAGATAAATGAAAACAAATCGATTGCAAATATTTATCATTTACAGACATGACAATATTCTCACAAGACTTCTACTACTTCTTTGCTTTCAAAATTAGTTGTCTCATAACTACTTGAATTTGCCTTGGGGTCTGGATTCTTTCGGGAAGGTCAATCTTAGCTCTGCTGATACATACGCAAGGGAAAAATAAGCAAACAAGAAGAATGTCTTACACAGTTTAACTAAATTATGATATAATATTGTTGTGTTTAGAGTAGTCAAGCATTGCTCAAATTCTTCCATTGGGCTCAATACTTTAGTTTACATTGAATTGCCTGCTAAGCATACCAAAGAAGATAGATCGTCTTTTTTTAATTATTAGATTTGTATTCGTGCAATGAAAACTAATTAGTTTTCTTTTTCTCTTTGTAACCAACACTATTGATCTTTCGATGAGTTGTATAGCGCACATGCGTGCTACTCCAACCAATGTCAGCTAGATCAATCGTAAGTCGTACACAACAATAGACCTGAACGGGCACAAGATAGTCAGTGATAGTATGCACTTCATTTTGTCCATCTTAGTATTAACCGGAGTTTAGCTTCAATGATGAAAATAAAATTAAAATAACCTGTTGCATCGCTTCCACGTGATTTAAGCCAATAGCGCAACATTTGTAATGAAGCATTTTCTCCAAAGTCATCCATTATCTTCGTAACTTCATCTTCACTTAATTCAAGTTCAGCTGCAAGTGCTGGCCAATCGCTTCCAAGTAATCGTGCAATATCAGTTAAACGTATTTCACCTTTTCGATACATATCATCAGATTTCCAGTCTACGGAAAACAACACAGAACCGAATAGAAATTATTTCTAATTTGAAAAAAGAAACCTATCTTACTTTCAGAATTATGATCGCGATCAACAGAATGCAATGCTCGAAGACGTTCTTCATTCTAGATCGAAATAAATATTCAAAATAATTCTATAAACAAAAAACAAAATTCTACCTCAAGCAAATCCTGAAAACAGAAGAAAAAAAAACGACGAGAAAATAAATTAGAAATAATTTATAAATCATGAATTTACTTTGTCGTAAGCTGGTATAACAATATTTAAATTACAAATTGCTTGTAATGCCTGTGGATCGACGACGGTTGTTGATGATAATGATGATGGCTGTCCGTTGGTCATTGTAAGTGACGTTGTTCGCTGTATTGAAGTTAATTTTCCATTATCTTTCGAGAAAATTAAGCGACCCGATGGATCTTGTTCTTGATCGCGTATACGAACAACACATGGTAAACGGTTTTCTTTGAAGGCACGAAATAATAATGTTAATTGTTCATTTGTTTTTATAATTGTTTGTAGATTATTTGATTGTAAATCGATATAAATTGAATTTCCATTAACAACTTCAACTTCTTTTGATTTAGCTATTTCAGTAAAATGTTCTTGCATTTCAAGTGTTTTATTTTCTTTATCGTCAGTGATGCAAAACAATCGAACAAGTGCTTCATTTTGATCATGTCGTTTAGCAAATACAATAAATCGTGACATATATGGAACTAATATAGCTTCACGATAGATTTCATGGGCTAATTTCAATACATCTGGTACGCCTTGAGCATCGATTAACCAAAAGCTAGAAATTGATTAAAAAAAAAAGATATTTAAATCGGAGAAAAAAAATCTTCTTTCCTTACCGAGCTGAAACCGTTGTTGTAAATGTTGCAGTATCTTTGGAAAATGTTAATGGTGTGTGTCCTGTAATATCATCGAATTGAGCAGCATGCGTACCGCCAGTGATACTGCATAATAAACGTAACGTTTGAGAATCACTTGTATATGCATTGCTGTGTTGTTGTTGTTGAGAGTGTTTTCTTGACGATGACGTTTTGTTTGGTAATGGAATTGTTAATGTTATTGGTTTATGAAATTTACGACGGCGTGGCTCAACAGTGATAACAGGACTTACATGAACACGCGAACCAAACGAACGTTGAACTAGTTGCGGTGATATTGGTAAAACATGAAGTGATATACGAATACGTTTTTGTAAGGCCTTTTCAGGTATATGTGCTTGAATAGTTGGCATTATTGTCGATGTTAACAAGCCGCCTTGCTCATCGATAAGACTTGCTTCTTGACGAAGTCGTGTGATTAAAGCAAAAAAACGAGGAAAATCGTTTGTTACTATACGTGTTATACGACGCGATTGAAGTTCTTCAGCATTATCTAAATCTTTAAAAAAAAGAAAGAAAGAACGAAACTTAGCGTTAGAGTTAAAATGTAGAAGATGTTTTTTTTCTGTACCCTCAGAATCAACAACATCGCCAAGTACTTCACGTACGGCTTCGTCTGTTGTTGGACCTGTATGTTCAGTCCATTTTTCACCATTATCACTTCGTAAAACGACAATTTCACGTTCACGGTGACGTAATGAAGCAAAATGTGGTATTTCAAGAATAACAGGTCTAAAAATAAATCACTCATATTTTAATATGATCGACGATTAAATAATTTTCTATTTTAAGCTTCTGCAACGCTTAGATGTAAAAGTAATTTAAAGATCAATAGACGATAAATAGAACTCGTGCGTAATATTTTGCATGAGAAAATCGTAGAGATAATTTTTTCTTCTCTTCTCAAGATTTCCCATGAGAGAAAAATATTTTTTAACAGTTCTGAAATTATTAGAAAATAATTTCTTTCGTTAGTTCCTCAATGACTCTTTTCAATTAGCGTTTACTTCGCTTCACAACTGAAGCGATGTAGTCGTCAATCTTTTGAGTTCACTTCAGAGTAGAAATTTGCAATAACAAGTTTGTTTTCTATTCTGATTTAGAGAAGATTATTCCATAATCGATTTATAGTGCCTCGATAATAACTTTCTTCTTTAATCGTTTTCTCATGAAAATCTTCTCGGAATCAGGTCATTTACTGGTTGATGTCTCTGTAATCACGTTTCGACTACGACGACAATGTGCTTAAACTTATGAACCGTAATTCCCGTTGAAACACATTTTTCTCGCTATTCCGGTTTCAATCGTAAACACCAAAATTATCTCGGAATATTTCTTCTTGAGAATCATTAAAACTACTTTGCTCAACAATTTTGAAGCACAAATATTTTTCTATGAATTAATTATGATTAATATTTTCTTACCCAAGAAATTTACAAGCAACAGGCCCAACTTCCAACACACGTGCTGCCAATGCTTCGCCTTCATTTAACGGTGGTGGTATTGTTAATTTTTCACGCTTAACAAATCGACATGTGATTCTTGTTGGCATACTAGCACGTTTCGATGGAATTATAACTCGTACACCCGAATGTCGACAACCACGCATGGCACCACCGCGAGCATCAACCAAAAAGCTCACCAAAAATCTATACATATATAAATACAATTACATATAAATATCCAGAAGACAACTAGAAACTAGCTAATTTGCCTAAACAGATGAATCTAAGAATGCTAGCTAAACTAAACATGCAAACACCACTTACGATCGACACTGAAAACGATCCCTAGAAAAATATATACAAAAAGATAATAATAAATGCACTGCACACATGCATGGCAACAAAAACGTTCATTCGTGTTCAAGCTTTCAGTCACAAAAAAAAGAGAGACAAGAAAACGTTTAACCTTACCCTCCGTGACGTGGTTTGGTAATTGTTTCATTATCAGCAACAAACGTTTGTGGGGCTACTATTGGTGTTGGTTGATCATGTAAATTATCTCGACTTTCTGTCCAATGATCTTTTGCTGCTAACATTGGATATTCAGTCTCTTCCTAGAATAATAACAGGAAATGATCGAACAAAATTCTGATGATTAGTTTTACTTTAATAAACGATGTTTGATTGAGTTTATTTTCTTCTGCTTCCGTCATTAACACACCTTCGCGTAAATATTGCATATGAACATTAGAACTAGCATCGCCAAGCATATCTAAACATTAATAAGTAGTCAACATATATATGTGAATGTATATATATATATATATGAGTGTGTATAAATAAATCCATATGCTTGGATATTAGCATTTATCATGCGCGCACATCCCAAAGGGTAAAAAACATGGTAATGATCTTTTTATGTGCATTCATTGGCAGGCAAATAGGAAAATAGAGATTTAAGACTACCTTTACTCGTTTTATCACGTATTTTAAGGTTGTTAATAGGTTTTGCCAATTCGAGATATCCGATTTCAGGATAAATTACTGCAATGTTATCTTCAGCTGAATGAGCTGATAATGATTCATTTTTCTATTAAATTTATTGTTTTTTGTAGTGAAAAAAACCACTTTACCTGTTTCGTCTTCAGAATCAGTTAATGGATGTTCTTCGTGTGAAACTTCAGGCGCTTGAATCTAAATTGAAAATAGAATTCCATTAAAAAATACATAACGAATTCATCGATGCGGCTTTGTTTTACCTTATAACGTTCTTCAGTTATCAATTCGTGTTTACTAGCAATTGTTGTTTCAGTAACAACTTTAAGTTCTTCAACGACTGATATATAACCAAGACGTTGTGCAATTGATAAAGCTGTCATTCCATGCTGGAAGATAAGATTAATTCTTTTTATTTATTGTTTTCTTTGTGAAACAGGATAAGAGTCAAAACTTTAGAACACGCCAATCGTAATAAACATTTTGGCAACATTATTTCTCATTCTCCGTTACAAACAATCTTGATATACGATATCCAACTCTATTTAGGTCATATCCTATGTTTGTTTTTTTGCTTCATATCCTGAGGATTCAGTGGGACATGCATCCAAAAATATATTGAATGAAGCACTCTAACACATCGCTACTATCACAACAACAACTAATTCATTATTTACATATAAAAACTTACTTTATTTGTTTTATTAGGCGATGCACCATTTTCCAGTAATAGTTTAACAATCATAACATGACCTTGTTGAGCAGCCGAATGAAGTGGTGTAAACATAAGCTTGAAAAATAAATAAACAATTTAGAATAAAGAATATAAACATGTCTCGACTTACATTCGTTTCAATATTAACATTGGCACCAAGTTTAAGTAAATATCGAACCATATTTATTTGACCAAAATGACAAGCAACATGTAAACTCGTATAGCCGCTCTAGAAGAAAAATAGCACCGAGATTATTTTGAATCACAAAAAAACAATTAGACTTTATTGATAGGAGATTTCTGTTTTTTATTTATCGAAGAGATCATGACCTTCTATTCACATTGTTCCGCCGAGGGGTGGTCTTGTATGCCAAGCTAATTTGTTTTTCTAGCAAGGTCCGCTTTCTTATACACGATCGACTATCCTTGTGTTCTGGAAGTTTATACTTACAAGTGTCTGTGCATTAATATCAGCCTGTTTGCTAACTAATGCTTCTGCGCATTTGACGCGATCCTCTTGTGCACATAAATGTAATGGCGTTAAATGACATTTCGATGCTATATTAGGATCAGCATGATTAGCCAAAAGTAGATAAGTCATGTCAGAATGACCATCTTGGCAGCTCAGATGTAATGGCGTAAACCCACCCGTTGATTGAGCATTTGTATTAGCATTGTATTCTAGTAACATTTCAGCAATGTCAAGAACATTCTTCTTAGCAGCTATATGCAATGGTGTATAACCGTTACGTGCTGTTACATGCGGACTAGCACCATGTTGCAATAAAAGAAGTGCGATATTGCTATGATTATAATGAACAGCACAATGTAACGGTGTTAAGTCATTCTGAAGAAAAATTTCATTTTTTTTATATAGTCAAAGAATTCGTGATTTCCTAATAACATACTTTGCCTTGAATATCCGGTGAAGCTCCTTTTTGTAAGAGTAGATTAGCAACTTTAATATTACCGTATTTACTACAGATGTGTAATGCCGAGAAATTTCTCTGCAATTCAAAAACAAAAATGACGAAATTTTTTACAATATGTTTTTCATAAAAAAAAGATTTAATACTACCTTAGTAAATAGATTTAAATTAGCTCCATGATCAATTAATAAACTAGCTATTTCTTCGTGTCCTTCTTTAGCAGCAATATGTAAACTTGAATAGCCATCTTTGGTTTCACTATCAACGAATGCATTTGCTTTTAATAATAAACTAACTATTTCAATATTTCCCAAACGTGTTGCTAAATGTAAACAGGTTTGTGCTTCTTTAGCTTTCGCATCAACTGTTGCACCATAATTTAGTAATGTTTGAACAATATCAATTTGATTGTTACGTGCAGCTAAATGTAATGGTGTTTCGCCGCGTACCGTATTTGAATCGATATTAGCGCCGTGTTGAAGTAAATAGATGACAATTTCATGGCTACCAACAAACGATGCAACATGTAAACTAGTTAAACCTGATTCTGTTCGAGCTTCGACATCGGCGTCATTGGCGATTAATAATTCGACTAGTTTTAAACGGTTCTTTTTACACGCAATATGTAAACATGAAAATCCATTTAATGCTTTAGCATTGACATCAGCGCGACGTTCGCATAGAAGTTTAGCAACATTGAAATTTCCACAATGAGATGCAACGTGTAAAGCAGAAAGGTAATCCTATAGAGAGAAAAAAAAACAATGCGGTAAAATTGGAGAATTTTCAATTAAAATATTAACGAACCGAGCTAACGTCATCTACTAATGTTGATTTATAATAGAGTAAAATTCGTGCTGCATCAACATGATCGCCTTGAGCAGCTAAAATAGAATTTCGATTGTGATATACAGAATTATGTATGTTATAATTATATTCATTTACCCATATGAAGTGCTGAGAGACCATTTTTAGTTTTTGCACCAAATGGAGCACCACTTTCAAGCAGAAGATCAACTACTTGATCGTGACCTGACCGAGCAGCACAATGAAGTGGTGCTAATAGAACATAAAAAAAAACAAATATTTACTAACATAAGAACTCAGGAAAACTTACTAAGGCCATCTTTTGTTTTCGCATCAATTTGTGCGCTTTTTTCAAGTAGTAATTTAACAATATTATCTTTACCCCATTTTGATGCTACGTGTAACGGTGTTATATTTTGCTAGAAAGAAAAAAAAAGGAAATTATTTAATAATTTTCTCGCAGAGAATTCAAATCTAGGATATTAAATGATTGGACCGGAAACTTTTTAATTCAAGGGAGACTATTTTTATATAATAATGTTTCATTTCAATAGAAATTTTACTTCATTAAATTTTTTTTCTTTCGCTCTCTCTCTCTCTCTCTCATATTATCATTCAATTAAAAGAAAACAATCGGAAAAAAGTATACTTCAATTTCAAGTGTATCTCTTACGCTAGCTGCATAATTGACATCAGCACCGCGAGCAATCAATAATTGTGCCACTTCTAAGTTTCCATAATGAGCTGCAATATGCAGTGGAGTAAATCCAGACTAATAAAAGAAAAACAATATATTATTTATATCGTAGATTAATAATTGATAATATTTTTCTAAAAAAAGACATGCAAAATAAACTACACCGGGCTGAACTGTATTTTTTTTTTTTTGAAAAAATGAACTTATATATATAAATATCTAGCTATTGTTATTAGTAAAGGGTTAGTAATACATTTTTTGAAAAATAAAAGCGGACATATTTTATGCTTACTCTGCCAAGCTGAAAAAGAGAAAAATAAGAATGAATAAGAAAAAAGATTTTTCGACGAAAAATAACAACAAAAATGTGATAACCATATGAGCGAACAACAATTATTAAGTATATACGCAAACGAACACCATCGATATATTTAGAAACAAACCTTTGTTGTACAATTAACAAATCCTCCTTCCTAATTATCTCAGAAATTGTTCACACAATGGTTAGTTATTGATTAATCTCTATGCATACCTTATAGTTAAGATCAGGTTGACTTTCGCCTTGTAGAAGTAAGGCAGCAGCTTTTGTATCATTCTTCTTCGCAGCAATATGTAATGCTGGTAGACGTACTTTTGAACCTTTCGAATCATTTTCTAATAGAATGGCTACTACTTTTTCATGACCTTGTTGAAGACTAACAGCCAAAGGTGTGAAACCATCCTTCAGAAGAATAAATTCAATAGTTATTGGCAATCATGTTCAATAAGAAGAAAAAAGTTTCACCTCAGTAGCTAAACTTTGATTAGCGCCATTAGCGAGCAGAAATTTCACCACTTCAATATGATTTTCTTCTACAATCAATCAAATAAACCATAAAGCAATTAATCATATTTATCACTAATCGATACATACGCGCAGCCATATACAAAGGAGAAAAACCATTTTGTGATTGACAATTAATATTAGCATTGTATTGAACTAAAAGTTTGACAACTTCTTCCTGTCCAGCTAATGATGCAATATGAAGAGCAGTATTTCCTTTCTAGAAAATAAAATATAATATTTGATTGATGAATTATCGCTGTCTCTTTTATAGATATATATATATATCAAAAGACCTTCGTTGCTGCATTGACATTTGCACCACGAGAAAGAAGTTCTTGAACAATATTTACATGACCCTCCCTAAAAACATATAAGAACGAATTGAATATAGATATTTTTTCTAAAGAATACATACTTTGATGCCAAATGTAATGCATTGAGTCCATTCTAAAGAATGAAATAGTCTATTTTAACTAGAAAATTTCTTGATGTATAAGATACATACAGCATTGCTTGTATTTATATCAATGGATGAGCGAAGGTATTCCAAAACCTTCTCAAGATTTCCTGCTCGTGCTGCTCGTAAAAATCCCGAATTTCCATCAGACTAGAAAAATAAATAAATCATTATTGATATCGCGACTAGACAATCAAAGAGAGTGAATAATGAACTTTTTTTTCCCTCTTTTTCTTCTTTGTTGATCATCATCATCATCATATCAATTAACAATGAAAAGATAATCATCAACTTTATTTTATCTTCTATACACATATCGACATGTGTATACGTATCTTGATAGACATATTCGATCTTGATCTATCGACATTTATATAGATCGAAATTATAGTAGAGAATTTATCTAATAAAAACTAGATAGACATCTAGTTGGTCTGTTGACTTGTTTGTAGATTTATTCCGGTTAAAGAATGCGTAAACAAAGAAGAAAGTTAATGTTAAATTACACGAATTAGTTATTTATTATTTCCCAAAAGGCAATCATTTGTTATTGATTAATACAATATGTTGTCTCTCAACATTACGATTCGATGAGACGTATTATCACAAAAAAACAAGACAAAATTTTAAAAAAACCTTGCTATTTAATCAAACAATACTCACGAAGGTGCATAGTAATTTATTCGACATTTGTCGACCAATGAAAGCAATCTTCTCTTATATGAACAAATACAGGACACCTTTGTCTGAGTTACGTCGTCTTCAGTGTAATATAAATATATGTAGTTATAGTAAGACGACACATTCAGAACAAGAGAAGAAGAAATTAGTGTATAATCCTCGTTTTCTTCTTATAATACAGATGCACTATATATATTTCCTTTTTTCTTTTTTCTTTTTGTCCTATTGTATGTAGAAATACCAAATCAAGGCAAATTCCCCAAAAAATACAACTAACAATGGAAGAGAGAAACAGAGAGAGATAAAGGAAAATATAAATAGAATAAGCAATCAATGAGAATATAGTGGTTACTAAATGAACCTATCTAACGATGTTTTCTATTAAAATGCATTTATCCTATATTCATATTGATTAACTAACGAGACGATAAAGTAAAGGCTAAAAAAATAAGTATTATATTAGAAAAATGGAAATATGTCCGTCGGCTAAATGAACTTGCCAACAAAAACAAATATTGTCCTTCGTAGGAAACAACATGATGGCCTTTTGACCGATTAGAAAAAGATGTTAAAAAAGTAAATGAAAACAAGGAACATACCGCTGTCATATTGTTAAAAGCAAAACGATTGACATTTGAAAAGGTTCTTTTTTACTCGTGTCCGTCTCGTGTATGAACGTAAGAGAGAGAGAGAGAAGATTAAAATGTACAAATGTGTACGTTTCTAGAAGCAAACAGTTAGTACAACAAGCCAGGGAGAAAAAATGAAAGAGAATGAGAAATTTTGTGGCAGCATTGCTCGTCAACGAGTCAGACAGACAATGCATCATGAGCATGGTGAACGCTCACGCGTCTCTCGTTCTCTTTTATTATTGTTGTATTCTTCATTCGTTCTTTCTCTTGTTAGAGAACCCACTTTTTAGTGATGATAGAATACACACACACACATTCCTATCTCGTTCTCTTTTCTATCACGAAGACATTGAACTCAACGCAGATGTAACGTCGGTTTCGACCAACCGGATGTTAGAAAGGACAAAAAGAAAGAAAAACCCCAAAACAAAAAAATGAAAGGATGCAACATCTGGATAATCGAAAGATACGAAGGAAGGATAGGCTAAATATTCAATTATAAGCTAATGATTTCAAACGGGAATCATTTAGAAAACGTGCCATAACGATCATTGTTGCTGCTTAACAATAATTAGTTTATATTTAGTTCTTAGTTTAATTTACTTCTTTGGTATTGTCATTTTTTATCGTTTTTTTTTTGAGTATCATTAAAAATTGCAACTGACTTGTCGGCCGTGCTCTATTTCGTCAAGCCGATAGATATCAACGCAGCAAGAAATATCGCTAAATGCAAATAGAAGACGTATACGAATAGCGTCAAGGGAAATATCTTTTCCCTACATTCTATACGAATAGAAAATAAATGATGATTATGAAGACGTCGATGGCCTGCTTCTCGGTCGTAACGTATATAACACAATTATTTATATTGATAGTAAAGACACCCTTTCAATGCTCGTTAAATATATCGTGCTCGTTTATTTTCTAGAACATAATTTATTGGGTTCCTTTTTGTTTCTCTCTATTCATGTTTAGTGTTTATAGTACGACAAAAATACGAAAAGAAGTCATGGAAATGTGCTATCATAGGTGCATCAGTCATTATTTTATACAAAACAAAATCTACGCACACATGTACCTTAATTGAAATAGAAAAAGTGCATACACACATTCATTCATTCACACGCTCACTTGATGGTTATAAATTGGATAGTTGACTGCAGACATTGGAGGTAGTTTGATACTTGATGGGCGAGTTATTGATACAACACGACTCTCAGTTGCTGATTGAATAGACATTTTCTTCGTGTCAGGCAGTTAGTCAAAACATGACACTAGTCGTTTTTACTATCTCCGAAGAGTAACAACAACTGATCTGGCATCAAATGCTACTAAATGCAAAACAAGCTATTCTTTTCTATCGTTTCGTGCTTGAGCTCTTCAAATAGCGCTGCTTGACGTCTTGCAACGTTGTTGTTAATAATCATTCGTCATCATCTGTTGACACAAGCTGAGGAAAGCAGTAACGGCTAGTCGTAGGACGACTCTTATTCCCTCGTCATCTCCTTGTTCGATTCGCTTGTCTATCTAGTTCTTTTTCGCCCTTGCACTTCTCATTCGGATTAACTATAGAAAATGTTCGTGAGAGAAAGAGAGAGAGAGAGAGCGAGCGCAAGCCAAAATGTTATGGTAACGTTGAATAGTAAATAAAATCCAATAGGCCGAAACGACAAGTGGAGTAGCTTAAGAGAGGAAGAGATGTGCGGCGATGATTATTACAATATGACAAGTGATGATGAAGAGGGCGAAATAGCGACAACATTCAATAGTCTGATAATTTCATTAGAACCTATCTTTTTCTCTTCTACTTATTTGCAGTAGTTGTTAGAGAAAATTTTTCTATTGATCGAACGATCAAGTTTTTTTCGTCATGTAACAAAATACAAACTTTGGAGAAGAAAAAGTTCCTAACACGTTGAATAGTCCCCTAAGGTAGAATCAATTATGTAAGCGCTATACTTTGAATTGTATTACAACAAAAGAGAATACGAAGAAAAAGTAGTAAGCCGATCAATATGAAATGACATAGATGAATGTGTGCATGCATTTAATAAGTTATCGTTACTTACTGTTGATAATCTTGCTTTTGAATGGGTCATCTGAAGATTGATATTTAAATGCAACAAGAAAAATGATCAACTATTCGTGAATAGATTTCATTAAGTAGCAACAATTTAGCTCTTTGCATATAGTTATGAAAGGTGAATCCAATGGAGATTGACTACCATATGGATGTATTGAGTTGGGGTCGGTCTGCCTTTTTCTCGTTCTCTTTGTCTGTGTCAATAATACGGATGACGATAAGATCCTTTTGCCCACTCTTTCTTTTTTTTTTTGTTCTCTTCTGTCTGTATTTTTATCGAGGTATTTTCATCCTTCTGTAGAGCTGATGATATCACAAATAGACAAATATGATACACAAGCAATCGTCTAGGGAGAGATAGCATTCGCAAGCAACTAGAATCATATCACAGAACAAGCAAGAAAGGATAAGAGAACTGAACCATCTGGAAAAGACAGCCATTGTTATTTTATTCGTTACGAGCAAAGCCAGCAGGGGTTATTACATATATACATATGTATATACAAGGATATTAAAACGTCTAATTGAAGTGCATCTTATTCATATACCATTATCTCCTTCGAAGGCCTATCATCAATCAATCGAATAGTATTTTGAATAAACCAACCTATAAATTTCTAATTGTTCTAAAAAGTAACAATAATGAAAATACTGATAAAACTGTGCTTCGATTGAATTGTAAAAAAAAAATGTCAAAACTGACATTGTCACATGAGCAGAAACTCGTGTGATGAATTCCAGTTATTATCTCAAGGTTTTCATGCATATAAACGCAAGACATTTGTAGGATTTTCAATTAAAAAAAAAGACACAAGAAAAAAATAAAGTGCAATAATTTAAGCGAAAAGAAAGAGACAGGCGTTTTTCGTTAAAAAAAACATCTTATCGAGTGACAAGATACCAGACGCCTCCGTCAACAAGTCATATATCATAACGTCACGAGATGGAAATCTTCTGAAGTCCACCATCTGGTTATCTTCTCATAAAACGTATTCTACCTATAAAAGCCCAGTTATATTTGATGTATTTTTACAACTCAAATTTGATTTAAAAATATTCGAAACAACCATGTTTAAAATTCTGATTGCTTTATCATTACTCGTTGTCATTCAAGGCCAACTCGCCGGTGGCTTCACAGATCGCCCAGATCTTCTTAACGATGCAACAACAAGAGTTATGGTCCAATTATCAGTCAGTGAATTAGCTAAGACCACAAATCTTGCTGTATCACTCATCAAAGTTGTTAAAGTTGCAACTCAAGTTGTCAATGGAATCAATTATCGTATCGATTTTATCGCTCGTCCACTTTCATCTGATGCTGTTCTTACATGCTCAACCAAGATTTATCAATCATTTCAAGGTCAACGGACCGTTTCTTCAGTTGGCTGCGTTTAAAAATAAAAACAAATCGACATTTCTAGTAAAATGCTATTCGTAGAGCTTTTTCATTTTTGAATAAAAACTGCTGAAGGAATCTTTGAATATAAAAAAAAAACGAAAGTCTTCTTTCCAGTTTTAGCATCTGCTTTTATTCACATGAAATATACAAATAGAATATTCTACTTCTAATTTTATTAACAAAACAAGATTTTTTTCCTATCCAGAACGGCTACCGTTTGTTGCAACTGTCATTGCTTTAGTTCAGAAAACCTATTATTGAAAATACTGTTGTGACTATTATGCGGTCAAGTAAATCTATTTACATCGATCAAATAAGCTTCTTTTATATATACAGTACTCGGCTTATATAATCGAGGACACGCCTGTTTTTACATTAAGTTAAACCAATAATAAAGACAAAACATTAAATCATGAGAAAAGAAAAAACATTTTATTTACCGCCAGATCGTTAGTAGGGCTTGATTGAGCAGTAGCAGTATTTTCCAATTCCTCTAGATTCATGACCATGTCTAATACAGGGTATTAGATGAAATGAGCTATAGAAGTCAATGAAATGGCGTGCCGCTAACTTTTCCTGTCTCTCTCTCTCTCTCTGATGTTGGCGTTTTGTTTCCACTTTTGTAATATTATAGAAAAAAAAACTCTCATGCGCATTAGATTGACTGTTTCTCTTCTAGTTTTTCCTTTTCCTATACTCTCGACACATATTTAGCTGAATGTTCGATCTTGCGTTCAATCCATAATTCATCTGAGGCAACAGAAAAGACGACAGAATAGGATGAAAAATATTAACAGAAAAGAAATGGCTGAAACTTCTTTTCAGCTTATTTTCTAATCATTATTATATAATTCTTTCCTTTTCCTTTACACGAAACAAGATCAAAACGCAAAAGAGAAAAAAGAAGAAATAACAAAAGGTCTTACCGAATTTGTTTGCGGCAATGATGGAGAGCCTGTCGATGCATAGTAAATAGGACTCGTTGCAGGACCATGATCGATATAAGTTGGACTTGATAACATCTGAAACAAGAAAAGAAAATGAAATTTTAGCATTTTATTTTCATTTTTTAACGGAGTACTACTAGTGTTTTATTGTTCTTATAGGAAAAAGAGAAAACACTGGAATCACTGCAACACGAATACAAAAGAAAATTAGCCTAAGAAAGAATATTTTTAGCGCTCTTCTTCCGCACGCCATGCAACTTTTTTACGATGACTTTCGAGTGAATCTTTCAATTTTTTATCTATCATTTCTTCTGTTAATGTTCCATCTTCCGATGCATATGCCGATGCCTACAATAGAAAAAGTGAAAGAAAAAAAATTCGTGATTGAAATAGGCTATTTTCAAAATGAAATTAACTTACTTGACAAGCAGCAAGTAATTTTGCGATTTCACGGCCAGAAAATCCATCAGTTACTTGAGCTAAACTTTCGCATTTCTTTTCGAAATCAAATGGACCAATTTTAATGGGACTTAAAAAGAAAAGGTTTACTTGAAAATTTTACAGATAATTCAAAAGAGGTGTTTTGTTTTACCGACGACGTTCAGCTGATCTCAAAATATACGTGTCGAAATAGAGATAAGTCATTCGACGGCGTTCGGCTAAGCTTGGCAAATCGAATTGAACCATTTCATCAAGACGATCATTAACAGCCCAATCAAACTGTTCTGGTTCGTTACTTGCAAGTACCAACATAAATCTAATTAACGAACAACATTGTTAGATTTATCAATCGAATCGCTTGTGTAAAACAAAGTATAAACAGATATATACATGCGCAAATGAAAGAATGAAATCGGATCCCCTCATGACTCTTTGAACTTACCGACTTGACTGTTCGCCAGTACGATAAAGAAATGCGTTTAATGCGGCACGCATATCTTCACCAATTTTTTCCTGAATAATTAAATTAAATACGTTAAGGTCTCTGTTAGATAGATGCTACTTACAGTGGCTCGTTTTCTTAGAAAAGCATCAGCTTCATCAATAAATAATAACAGACCACGACGGCTAGTTTGTGACCAATCAAATACTTTGTGTATTGCAGTAACGGCTTCACGGCCTAATGGTGCTACATCACCACCAGTCATTATGGCATAATCAAGACCTGAATGTGCAGCTAATTTCTATAAATCAATATCGATGTTTTTGTTTTTATTTAAAAAATTCAATTCAATTTACTCTGTACCTTAGCAAATAGAGTTTTACCTATAGAAAATCGAAAACAATGATTGGATTTACTTTTTTTTTAGCTATTTTTCTTTACCTGTGCCCGGAGGCCCATGCATAAGTAAATTTCGAAACAATCCATAATTTCTTTTTGTAAATCGTGTCGCAATAGCTATTTCACGTAAACGTGATTCAAGTGCTGGATCAAGTACAACACCTTGTAGTGAATCTTCGGCTTTCGAAAAAAAGGCACGTCTTACTGTTTTCACCGGTGAACGAAGCGCAGTTAGTAATGTTGTTCGTGACGTTTCACGAATTAGTGACGGTTTACCGAGACGTGAATCAATATATTTGACTGCGGTTTGTGTAGCTCCTCGTGCCGAATAAACACCAAGTGCAAGTAAAGTGATACCACCCGTCTATTACAAAAGAAAACAACCAATTAGTTCAGCTTTCATGCTGCAAGTTTCTATTTAGTTTGAACTTACAGCCAGAAGGATTTTACTTGGATTTTCAAGTAAAGTCGTAATACCAGTTCCAACAACAGTACCAGCTGTTTTAATACTTTCTAAAACTGTTTTGCGTTGTTCCTCGGCTTTGAGTTTAATTTGTTCGAGATAGATTTCACGATTTTCACGTTCGATTTGAGCTTTTCCTTTCAACTCAGCCTCGAGACGCTTCATTTCATATTGATGACGAACTTGTTCAGCATATTCAATCGAACCTAAATATAAATGAATCATAGAAATTGAGATAATTCATAAAAAAAAATAAAATGACACTAACGTTGTTTCATTTCTTCCTGTTTTCGAACGGAATCTTCTTGTCGACGACGTTCTTCGTCTTGTAAACGAGCCTAGTTATTAATACGAATCAATGTGTTATTGAACTTTGATCCGTATTCGATGTTACCTGTTCAGCAGCTTGATCTTGCATACGTTTTCGTGCTAATTGATCTTGGAATTTTGCTCTCTAGAAACGAATCTATTGAGAAAAAATGATGATCTTCCAAAGAATTTATACTTCGTTTTGATGATGAGTTTCCTCATTCATCATTCGACGTTTTTCTTCATTTAATTGTTGTTGATGTTTAAAACGAATGTCTTCTTCATGTTGAGAATATTCCTATTTAATCAAAATGATTGATGAGCTCATTTACTTTTAACGCTTACCTTCATTTGTTTTTGAATTTCAAGTTGTTTCGTTTGTTCTTGCATTTTAACGACATCAAATGCTTGATTTGCATGAGCTAAATAGAAAGAAAACTTGTAATCGAGCGTATATATTTCGACATAAGTATAACATACGTGATCGTTCAAGTTCTTTCGCAGCTTTAGCAGCTCGTTCAAGAGCAGTTGAATCAAATTTATAGGTAGATTCACGTCCGGCGAACATTTTAGAATCATCATTGCCTATTGTTGGTTTATCATTTCCATTGCTACCAGGTGGGGATCCATCATTACCACCGGCATAACCTGATGGTGGAAGATCAGAGACAGGTTTTTTATAGCCAAATAGCCACGACATCTAAAACTACATGGAATATTCTTTATAATCAATCAAAAGTAAGATAATCAAATAAATTTGATGAATATTATCCATTTTAGATGTTTATATGTATGGCACTGATTTAGTCCTATCAAACTATTGATGAGCTTTGTTAAAGAGATAAAATTCGCTTGTTTGCCTTGATTTCGATCGACTGCCTGGGAATATTGAACAAAGAAATTCAAATCACTTTATACTCGCCAATAATTAACGAATTATGTTTCATGGTAAAGTCCTCTAGAGGTGTCGCTTAATTATTATTTCGTTATATGTCATTGATATCTTTGATTTATTGGAAAATATTGTCAAATAGAAAGAAACTTTTTTAAATTAAGTTAATCAAAAAAAAATTTGACCAATATGAAGTTTCACTGTTGAATTATATGGCCGATAAGACAAAAGTAATTTAATTGGATTGGTTCATTTATTTTTGTTGCAGAGAAGAAGAATAAAAGCAAGCGTCCTGTTTAAAACAATAATAAGATATTTCAATTTTATTTTTGTTGTTATATTTTTTTGTGGAATTCAATATGCCGACTAAACTCTATATTGGTAATATTTCTTCATCAGTTAGTCCAACTGAATTAAAAGAATTATTTGAAAAATATGGCAAAGTATTAGAATGCGACATAATCAAAGATTATGCCTTTGTTGTAAGTTGTTTATTTTTCATGTATAAAATTGACTTGATAGTTTTACTTTTATTTTCTAGCATATGGAAGATGCAAGCAAAGCAAAAGCTTCTATTGCTGCTTTAAATGAATTTAATTTAAAAGGAAGTCGTATAAGAGTTGAAGTATGTATTTATCGCGAAAGCTAAATGTGCATAATATTTCTATCTATTAGGTATCAACAAGTCAACTTCGCAATGCAGGTCGTCCATCGTAAGTGATTGTAATTATTGTTTGATTTAGACATGATCATTTTTGCATAATCACATGTAGCCGTCGTGGAGATTCGCCGCGTCATCAATCAAGTTCGATGCCAATGCGATCGTCAAGGTATGGTGATTTTAGTTTTATTTTAAAATAAAAATGTTTTCCTTCCGTATGTATTAGAAATCGAGATTATCCAATGGTGTCATCGAGTCGAAGTGGCGGTCCTGATCGATCATATCCTCGTATGCGAAACAGCTATATGGATTCAAGATCGCGTCCGTACGATTCACCTTATGAACGTCAACGAATAGCACCTCCGCCACCACCAATGAGTTATGGCGATCCGTACAGTATGCGTGGTGGTCCCGTGGATCCATATGGTCGTGATGACTTCTATTCTCAACGAGCACCACCAATGCCAATGACTGATCACTATGGACGAGGTCCACCAATGCGGTATGTCGCTATTCACGTCTAGTAAAAGAGAAGTGTTGTGTCGAAAATAAAAACGTCGACTTAGTGCTTCTCTCTTTCTCTCTTTCGTTCGATTGAACGTCCACATTGGCCAAACTCCGTTTCAGGTCAACTTACGACGCTTACTCCGCATATCCACCTGGCCTTGGTGCAATGGGACCACCGAGAAGGTAAGCAAGAAATATTATTCAAGGAAAAAAAGATATGTTCGTTCGTCTATCTAAAAAAAATAATTGATTGGAAAAAATCTGGTGATCGCATTTATATGTCATTGCTTGAAATTTCGTAATAGCTGTTTATAAACGGGATTTAGAGACAAGAAAAAAAAAGAAATCGAACGTTTCGTTTTAACGTATTCATGTAATCTTATAATACGTAGTCGTTATGCTGCTTCACCATCGTCATCGCGTAATGGAACAGGACGTTATGCATCACCATCTCGATCTTCATCGTCGCATCGCACATCCAGACGATCACCATTGCCATCATCGTCGTCCAGTTCGTCACGGCCACGTCGTTAATGGAATTTCGAATGATGTCCTAACATTTTTTGGAACAAAAATATTCTAAACACCTGCTATACAATTTGTTGCTTTAATTAGTCAGACAAAAATTGTATGTTATATAGTTAGTTTTCGACTAGTGAGTCAAACGAATTATCTCGTTCTCTTTTTCTGTTTTGCTTGTTATTTGTGTTTTTGTCATTGTACGAGTGATAAATCAGAACCAAGTTTATATGATATTTAATAAATCGATCGTATCAAATTTGTAATTGAATTCTTAAACTTCTCAATTCAACCAAATTGAAAAATCAAATTTCGCTTATTTGCGATAAATGGAGCGTATTATATCTAATCAATTTATGCAGCAAAAAATGGTTAACGAAATTAGAAAAAATTCCAATTTGATATGCGTGATTCATGCTATTTTAAATGTCGAGAACTACTAAATCTATTCATACGGTTCATTGAACTACTGCTTTGTAATTATAAATATCAAGGTTTCCAATACTTATGCACGCCGATCTGGTACATGTATGTATCGTTGCATAAAGTGCGTCAGTTGAAATTTGATCACTGCTGCAACTAAGAGCAGACAAACGGAAACTTATTAATGTCATATACGTGTTAGATTATATTTTTTGTCTTTCATGATTATGTGGCTATACACAAATACAGCGTCTATGATGAGAGAGTTATATTTTGGATGTTTAGTGTCGATGGGACACCGTACCGTACTCTTCTCACTATCATGCACACCCTCACCTACACCCACATCTCTATAAAAACCCATGCATATTTGTAAAACTTAGATAATATAAACTCTCAACTCTTATGTTTCGACTAAGCAAAAACGTTTTTATTACAAGGGAATGCGTTTTTTTATTTGTGTCAATACCATGATGCCGTAGATTATTTTAGTCTAATTTTTAATTGCCAATAGACTAATAATTAGCCAAACAGATATTTTTATAAGTTGAGAACTATTGTTCAATCGTCCTTCGGGTGTTTCTGTTAGACCGTACTTGAACAGAATGCTTTTGGCAGCTTTGAGTGTTGACAGTTCATTACACAAGGATTGATTGCAATGAATATCAAACGTAGCAAAGCTACCCGAATCAGAAATATTTAAATACCCTAACCTGGCATGCATGCCAGTGTTACAGTAGTAAGTTATTTCCTTTTCAATTAATTTATCCGCAATTACACATGAGCCAAGATTAGTTGCAACTGCACATTGACTCGTTGTTTCTTCTGAATCGAAACAGACAAGATTCGTAGTGTTCTCAGATTGTGAATCAGCTGAGACTAGCGGTCTAAGTTCACTGATGATAGATTGATAATCAATTTTACGCTGAATCATTTCAGTTATTGCGGCTCGGGCAAAGTCTTGAGCGCAATCATTTCTATCCTTGCATGCATGATGAATGTCATACTTAAAATAGTACGAATCGGTTGGCCGTACTTCAAACATGGCATGACGTTGATTATCCGAACTAGAAATGGTATTCGACGATCCAGCATTGAGTGTCACGACGTATTCTTGAAGGTAGTACCAAAATGTAACAACTACATGGCATTTTCCGGCCGATGCCACTTGACTGCACTGTACTGGTACATCGAATGGTATACCAAAACTGAGTGTATACGAACAATTAGTTATACATTGAAGAGCGTTACACGCCAAAAAACAATAGCAGATAAGGAGAATAAAACATTTGAATGGTAACATGATGATAAACAAGGATAAGTATATATTTATTTAAAATGCTTTGGATACGTTGTCATATATTGTATTTCATTTGCTTCGTATACTATTACTATGCGTTATAAAACTCATATTTACTTAGGAAGTAGAAATGATATGACATCAATGATGCAAACATTCTAGACTATATGCGTTAATATTTTCATGTGAATGACAATTTATAGGACACGTGCCATCTTGAGGTTGCGGGTTTCGGTAAATGTGTACGGTGAAGTTAACAAGATAAAAAAAAAACAAGAATAAAAGAGATAAATCAGAATGAATCTTAACCAATTCGAGCTTTTTTCTTCAATGAGATCTCTCATAAAATTTCTGTGGAATATCGTTGGAAAAATTGTGTCGGGATAAACTGTCATGTATTGCGAAGTGCGTAATAGATGCTCGGGAGTGTTTGAGTGCGAGTGAGAATGTAACTTAATACATGGCTGCCCATCCACACACTAATATCGATTTTGAGATCAACTATTTGAATAGTTTAACTCTATTAATGTTCTTAAGGTTAATCTTCTGAGATTGGCCGTTTAGTTATTAGTCAAAAGCTATACTTTTTTTTTATCATGAAGTTTGAGAAAATTCTTTACAAACAATGAAAACAATTTTTGATTAAGAATATCATCTATAACAATGGATTCTGGCAAAACCAGGTTGGGAACAGCCAACCTTGCTTCTCGTGTAATTCTAGTGGCCATTTCAATTCGCCAAATGACGGTAACAAGTAGATACGCGCGAAATCGAATAAACATTAGTATTGAAAAGTGACCAAAATATCGCATATCAACGGTAAAATTATCATATATTGTGTAAAACACAAATGATGTTTTTCATGATATAAATCCAAATAAGTTAACGAAATCTCGAACGATAAAGATTACTTCAGAGCTATCAGCTCTGTAAGTCATGCATTTCAAAGTGACACTTCTTTTCAATAGATTCATGTATCCTTTTGAATCGTAGACTTTTTTCCCAATTGATTTTTTCGACATCCAACAAAGGTATTACATGTGTCTGTTTATTGATTTAAGTTATATCACAACATCGACTGCAATTGAAACATGCTGAAAGTCATTTAGTATTAACTTCCAGTGAACGTCGCTATCGTATCTGAGATAGCTTAAAAGCATATATGTACAATTTTTTACTGACAAAAAAATGCTATCCGATGATCTATCACACAATTCTCATCAACTGGTGTGATTATTTCTGTCCTCAATCCCTGATGTTACTGTTCCGAATTGAAATGTATATCGACTGTTCGTTTTGATCATAGCACTGTATTGATAATAATGTCGAATAGCGCGTGCAAATTTATCATACGACATTACTCGAGATGACTGTCGAGACCTAACTCGGGCCCAAAGAGTAGCCACCTCATTTGGTTTATAAATCTGAAATATTCCAAGTGATGAATTCGTGTATGATGCATAAGATGAATAGCGTGGTTTTTCAAGTAGAAGCCGAAGAAATTCTAGGATTAGAGGCGATCTACGACGGTTGGATCTTGAATCAATTATTAGCCATTCACTGAGATCAAATGGTACATCACTCTCATATATCGATGAATCTTGGCTACTGGAATCTGTTGTATAGCAATCTGACGTAGGTTGACATTCATCATCATCAGAAGGCTCATGAGATTCATATTCAACAGAATCATTCACATCGGTATTGACTATGCCATCCTTCAGGTACCGTACCAGTTCATTGATTCTCACCGAATCTGCCTCCATTCTTTGTATAATCGTATTATCGATAAAGAAAACGAAAGTGGTCGATATTGTCTGACACAAATATATGTATGACGGTCAAGAACGGGTGAGGTTTATTGTAAATGTAGCACGAAGCAAAATATAATTATTGAAATTCAATACGAATGCTACTACTTTTACGTGTAATTATGTAGCACAGCTTTTATATGATGAAGTCTCAACCGCATTAGTATTTATCAACGTACGGTATTTATTGGAAAATGAAAAAGATTGCACGTTGGAAAATTCTTTTTCTCCTGTTTCTGTTAACCGAATCATCTCACACGGCAACCAGCATGTTACAGAACTCAATCGTTCCACGACAACATGATGACTTCACACTTGCGTAACAACGAGTACTTTCTTTTTCGAAAAATATCAGTTGGTTTTTTCTGCAACTCATAAAGTTAGATTACTTATAAGATGCAATGCAAAATAAAAACACAATTACTAGGATACGATTCTGCAATGCATATTGTTACTCTTGCCAAAGTATAGAAGAAAAATGTCTCCCACGTGTATGCATGCATTTGGTGATTCATTTCAGTTGACTCTGATGTAGTGTTTTGCAAAGGATGATAAGTTTTTAGACGAAATAATTATTTGAGGATGTGAGTGTGTATGTGCGTGATGTAATGTACATGACGCTGCAAATAAACTCTTATCATTGTCAACACGTTCACTTAACCATTAAGCTGTTTCCTTGTTGTCTGGATATGTTGGAGTATTTTTACGTGCAACTAATGAATCATTGTCCTATGTCTAGTTGTATAAGGTATTCGGATCTATATGGTGAGTTGGGGTGACAGCAGAATTAAAAAAAATATCACCATTCGAATGCTTCAAACAACACATTTTTTGCTATGCGAGCAGATGTCTTAAATCAGTTAGACTAGACGAGACACCTTATCTCCGTCTAATCGGAACATGAAACTTATATTCATACGTTCATTTATCATGTTACTCCTAAAGATATTCTATATTTTTTTCTACCATCAGAGAAAAACGAATGATGTAGCAGCATGCCATTTGGCATAATGTAATTCTCTTCTTTTATTTTCTATCAAATATGTTAATAATAGTGACCCAAGCCATGTTTAATATAGGACGAATGTAGACTGTAAGATAGACTTTATTTAATAGCACAGTTCACTTCTTATCAAACTGAAAATATCAATAGCTTGATCGCTATGATCTTGAAAAACATTCCTATGGCGTATAAATGTTTGTCGAATGAGATGCAAAATCACAAAAACTAAAACATATTACACCAAGTCTCAGTTACTTTGATTCTACGCACACTGAAAAGTGGCAATAGGAATCTAGACTTATTACGAATCGAAAGATAAGTCTATGCATTATTCAAAGTCCTAATAAAAACCGATTTTAGTTTGCGATGGGATATTCAGCTTTGTCAAAGACGTATTAACCATAAAATTGTTAATCATTCTTGGTATTTTCATTGAAAAAAAAACGACAAAATATAAAAATATGACTGCTAAATATAATTTTTTCCAACAAAAAAAGTCTTTAATCAACTGAAGGCCAATACAACATTGGATTTCAAAAACAGAATTTTCACTTGCATCGATTTTGAATTTCTTCTTCGATAATCCTTTAATTTGATTGTTTGAAGATAACTTTTAAAAAGCTAGTATTATGACTGTGAGAGTGTGATGGCTTGCGTGGATTAAGCCATTACTCATATTCACTTATGCACACTTTCACTTTCGTGACCACTTCATGTTATTCTAGTAAAAAAAAATCATATTTTTCTTCTTTCTTTCCATCTCGTTCATTTTTTCCAACAAAAAAACAACACTTCTTCCACTATTCTTTTGCTGCCACAAGGTTTAGTAATACATGTATAATTATTGAAGCAATATTTTTGGCACAGTGTTGTTTGATGCCTCGACATTCTGAGACATGACTATTTTCGAGTTGTCTTGTTTCGAAACAGAATCCACCATGGACTCTGCTAATGGCATTTTTTAAAATATTACTGAGGGACATAAAGTGCGGGTGGTTGAAAAAAAATCGTTCTAATACTACTTGTTTGCGTTTTTATTACCCTTTGACCTTCCTAGGTCCTATAGGGACACCATTAATAACAGTTTTCTTTCGTTTACAAGCTTAAAAATAAAAGGAAAAACAATGAGCGTAATACCATGAGACCATAAACTAAAAACAAACAAACAAAAAAAAACAAAAAAAAAATAGAAAAGAAGAGAAGAGAGAAAATAAAAGATGAAGCCATCAAAGAGAAAAGAAAAAGTGAAATAACAATAAAGAGAAGTAGCACGCAAATACATTATCAATGAGGTTAAGCACCACATACAATGATATCATGATAGAATAGGTGAAAAGAGGGTAGTGTCAAGTTATTACACATCCACATCTACTATTTCAAATATTTCTGGTTAGAACGTTTCTGGGAAATGAATAAAATTATGTATGTCATTGTGATCAATAGCCGGAATAGATGAGATCATATTGTGTCTAGAGCACCAGTCCAGACATATGGCCCATACACTGTTACGATCAATGAGTCTCTTATTTTTTCGGAGTGACATTATTTTACTATGACCGCTCAGCCAGCTTTGCCGGTGAGCGCATAGTTCAATTTGTTCCAGTAATAATTGTCCATCTTCCGACTTACCTAGTGCTGAGAGGTATTTTTCCCAGTACTTAAAGCATCTGACATCCAATGAACATTCATCGTATAATATACTAAAAATAAAATCTTCCCACTGAAGACAACGGTATACTCTTTTCAGACAAGTAAAATACACATGCGAAAGGTCTATTTGTTGCCTAAAAGTAAACAAAGGAATTATTGCAAATAACCAAGCAAATAAAGGGTATACAAATGTAGAAAATAAGATTCGACGAACCTCGTTACTAGAAACTCCTGAGTATTTACACATATTCACTAAAGCCGTTCTTTGACGTACGTTTAACAACGTATAATTTATAAGTGGTGACCAGCCTAGCTTAGTAGAGATCCAATATCCTAAATATTTGAATTGGTTTGTCCAGCTGATAATGTGCTCACCACATTTAAGTATAGGCATTGGATTCGGATAACTGACAGCACGAGCTGTCCACATAGCATGTGTCTTTTTATAATTGATCGGCTGTACCGACAAGACCGAGTAATATTCCAGATTATCGAAAAACGAAGCCAGTCTTTTTTCTAAGTCGATACACTGGTCGGTGTATTTTATTCCCATCTGACCTGCCATTGTAGCAGCCACATCGTCAGCAAATAAGAATGACATTGCCATTGGAAAAGCATCACTCATATCGGAGTGATATGTAATAAACACACTCGGAGTCAGACTGGAGCCTTGTGGCCCACCCCTTTTGATAGGAAACCATCGGGAACAAGTTCCTTGGATATCTATATAGCCACGTCTATTTGATAACCACTCTTTAATCCAGGCAACATAGGCCGCTGGAATGCCTAAACGTGAAAGCTTGCCTACGCAACCGTCGAACCAAAGCTGATCAAAAGCACTACGGAAATCAACGAATACCGTACAAACTGGTGAGCTATTAGCCATTAAAGAAGAGATCTGATCAATCAGTAGCAAAACACGACTTTGAAGACGATGGTTAGCTCTAAAGCCAGATTGATTGTCTGGTAGTAGGCCACGATCATTAAGCACTTTAAGAAAGCGACTTAGAAATAGCTTTTCGATGACTTTAAGGTGACAATCCAATAGCGAGATGGGACGTGTAGCATCCGGTGTACAAATAGGTTCTTTTTTTGCAAGAATGACCATTCTAACATCTTTCCATTTTTCGGGCATAAAGCTCGTTTGTAAGGACAGATTGAATAAGGGGATCATGAGATGCCAATAGTTTTTTGGTACATGATCGAGTAGCATGGGCGAAAGCCCATGAGCATCACACGATGACTTTTTCTTTTTTGCTTTTAGTACTCTTACTAATTCCGGATAAGATACCAAAGGGATAGTATCGTTATTGTTGTCCCAGAGGATGGGCTGTGAATCAATATACGGATGTGGCCGGTACACTTCCGGTTCTGTGAATAATTCTTCGTAGTAATTGGCCGCAGATTCCGCCATAACCGTTGTATCTTTAATGATTTCGCCAGGCATAGAGATAAAAGCTCGTAGAGAGGCGGATTTATCACGAAAATGACGTTTGGACTTAATCCAAAAAGGAGAAGATTCAGTACCACCTTTGTATCTTTCTGCCACCATTTTACATAATTGCTCTCTTCGTAACATTCGAAGATGAAACCGTGCTTCCTTACGCATCATATACGCCTCTCTTCGTAATAGCATATCGCCAGTTCGTTTTGCTTTAAGAGATAATGTACGGCTCTTGGCTAACAAATCTCTCAACCAATACGGTACTGCTGCTCTTGCCAATTTCAAAGAGAAATATTGAGTACACCGTGCTGATAAAAGTGCCAAAAATTCGATATAATTATTATAAGTTGTGTTATAAGACCTCCGTAACCATTCCTTTTCCCAGAACGAAAATGTGTAAGACATGAAGGCCGAGAATACCGTCCAGTTGATTCTTTTACCTAGAGCTTGTTCTTTACCATCGCACGCTAATATTCCAATTAGAGGTAAATGATCACTAGTAGTGTCTCCCTTATACGTTTGCAGAGAGAGATGCACACCAGATGTAAACGCATAATCGATTGTTCTATGTGATCTGAGTGATGTTGGGCCATCGGGAATGATTGGAGACAAGGCATGGGAGTCAGTCCAAGATAATAAAACCTCCCGTTTGAGCTTGTCCTCTTGTAGATCAATGTTAAAATCTCCCATCAAAACACAATTGTGATTTACAAAGGGGCTTATATCATGCCAGTTCCATGATTTACTTTCAGGAGCATATACACCAATAATACGTAATGATTCTTCCAGCAGGATATCAACTACACAAACATTAGATACATTACATTGATGTCTGATTGTCGACAATCCCTGACGAACTAGTATCAATACACCACCGTTTCTATTCTCACCACCCTGGTAAAAACTTTGATACTTCGGAAAAGCTGCAGCCACCAAAGAATGATCAATACGTCCAACTTCCGTCAGTACTAATATATCTGAAGCGTGTTGAGTACTTAATAAGACTACTTCACCCCATCTGTAGTCCAACCCACGCACATTAAAACATAAAACATGTAGGTCCGATAGGGGGGAGATTATGTCCTCTTTGACGGATTTCTTCCATTGTGAAAAGCAGCTTTCCAATGTTGGAGCATTATGCCATTCAAGAGCCACGAACGAAAATAGTTTTAAGTCAGAGTGTCCCAGAGTTGGTGCTATTAGGTTCCAAGTACTATTAGACATGTTCAAATTTGATGATGTAGAACGAGGTACAAATGTGGCTGCATTTTTAGATAGATTCATGTTGTAATTGTGTCGATGACTTCCATTTCTTCAGCCAATTTCTTAACAAAGTGTGTTTCTCCTCGCCCTTTTTCGTGTAATCTAAGTTTCTATCACTATCTTCCGGTAGAACGTCGTTTAGTATAAGATCACATAACTCCAGCACCACTGTTTTTATTTCTGACTTGAAGACTAACATTTCATCAACCACAGTACGCCATTTGTATTCGAGGTCCACTGCCTTTGTTTGAGATGCTGTATTCCATCCCATCCGTATATTAGGAAAGTTTTCCGAGTTGAAATGGTATGTGTTGGTGGTACTTGATGTTGGTTGTTGATGCGTTAATAAAGACCTGGTGAGTGCTGCCCTATACTCTTTTATAATAGGACATTTAGTATCATTTGATTTATGTGGTCCATTGCAATGTATACATTTCATAATGCCCGAACAGTTGGCTTTATGTAACCGAATATCTGAAGTTTTCTCACCACAGACAGTACATGTTTGAGTATCTTTTTGAGTGCAGTTCTTACGGAAATGTCCAATATTCATGCATTGTGAGCAGATCAAAACATGAGCTTGGGCCAAATATTCCACAATATCCAACGACAGTCCCATAATTAAAACACGTTTTTTATCCAACATTTCTTTGCGTGATATCACGGAGTTAAATTCTAATTTAACTGCTTTAATATCCTGTTGTGCGCTATTACGTAAACGTATTACTGAAACGATGTTCTTATTGACCGTACGAATTTCATCTGAGAATTCTTGGAAGTTAATATTCAGTGGTACGTCCGGTATAATTACTGATAGTTGAGGTGGGATCGAAGGACAAGTATATTTATATTTAAGTCCACATAATTCTTGCGGCCAAACTTTTTCATCAAGTAAAAGGACAAATGTCTCTAAGTTTTTAACAAATAATAAAATTTTATATTCTCCATGTGCACTATTAGTTGATGTTCGACGATAACCTGCAATATCTATATTAAACTGATGTTTATCCTTCGCAAATTTGCATAAATCTTCAACAACTAAATTATCACGAATATCCTGCTCCGTCACTACAACAAATGGAGAAAAAGGATATCTAGTCTGAGCAAATCGTTTTGCTTCTTCAGAAATATGAAGTTCTTGTTGTTCCTTCGTATTGTTATTCACACTAAAATTGTTTTGGAGTTGGATGTTAGCGTAATTCATGCTTTGCTGCTGTATGTTCTTACTATGCCGAGCTTGATTCGAGATAAATAGTCCATTATCTTGCATTTTGTTGGATGGTGAGACACCAACAGCTCTTCTCTTCCTTTGTGCATTGGAAACAATACGAGTGCCAGGATCGTTATCCATTTCAGTGGATTCACGTTGTTCATCAGACATTGGAGACAACACACGTTTCGATGAATTATGTGCGATTACTGACATCGTCGTAACTGGATTTAATTGGCTGTTTAAAGTGTCTTGTGTTGTCACTGTCGAATTATTAGACTGTTTTTGGTAAACGATGGATTGTAAATGTGTAATTTGAGTCGTAAGCCGAGCGATTTGTTCAATTAGGGCTCTATTATCATCACTCATTTTCTGTATAATTTTCCAAGGATCAGGATGATTTGCTATTCCATTATACTGCAAACCCGCCTGAGCATCACCCCCAAATAATACACCATTAGCGTCAGCATAGACAGTCGAAATTGATGATGGTTGATGGTTTATAAAATTATGTGTTCCTAATTTTTCGTACTGAGGTGCAGCACTCCCACAATCGGGCGCAACCCGCTGCGCCATGATCGGCAGCAGAGTAATATATCGATAATATCGGTGTATAAAAATACAATTAAAATTTATACTGACCTTTCTTAATAAATTCCACTAATATGTTTATATATTTAAAGTTCTCTTTCCTTTAGATAACTATATAAGTCGTCACAGTAGAGAGATGTGTATAGTATACGTGCAGACGTGTGAATGATCGTTTGGTAAATTTCTTGCACTTGTTAACTCTAATTTATGTATCATTTACATAATATTCTGAGAATTGAGTTCGACAAACTTGAACAGATTCGCTTATTTAAGGTGATCTAATAATTGTTATAAAAATGGTAATCAAACAAGATGTTTTTTTTAAATTTAACCAGCAACTAATTCATCTTAATAAGATGATCTTATTAAAATAATATATTTTTGCATAATAAGCGTTTTGTTTTTGGCAGTTGAATAAGAAAAGAATGTCTTCGACTTACACAACTCTGTTGAAATTATATTAATTTTTAATTTTTTTTATTTAACGAGTTCTTTCAGTAAATAAAGTACAGGCATTTTTCTCTGTGCTGGTCATGTCCTATCGTTGAATTGAATTTTTCTTCATAAAATTTACAGATTGGATGAGAATGTGTAACTTTAAGGTGCCTCTAAAATAATAATTCATCAAATGTATTTACATTGTAATTAAATTAAATATTATAAAGTATGCACTTTTTGTTATACTTTCAAAGTACGATCGGACATTATCTTTAAAAGAAAACAAGCTACTTTTTAAATATAAAATAATTTGATACCACTGGTTTTGTTCAAGACATTCTCTAAATTCGATTATATCCCTTGGTGAAAAATAAATATTACACTAGCAATGTTCACGTGAAAATTAACATAGTTGTCGTAAAATAAGATTGCATAGTCTACAAATATATGATCCGTTGATAGTTTTTCTGTTTCTTGCGTCAAAAGCAAACATAATTGAACAACACTGTAAATTCAACTAGTAACATGACTTATGCTTTTTCTTATTATTCTTTTCAATCTTTTCGCATCAACAGGACATAAACTTTGACTTAAACATATAGAATTTCATGAAACAGACAGCTCAATTTTATTAACTAAAAATAGAAGTAGAATCAGAAGTGACTAACAATTGAGTTAACCTGAGCACCTCATGATTCATTGATCTTTCGTAGTATAAAACAATTTAAAATGTCTTGCTCAATGTTCTCTCGGCAGTGATAATACAAATAGTTAATTAATGAAAGAGGTTAGAAATCGATAACAATGAAACAAATCAGTGTGCATACAATTTTCACCTAAGAATATTTTTAAGAGTTTCAAACTCATTTTTCTCTTACCAGTATAACTAATTGTCAAAATAGATGAAAACATTGTTTTATTCAAAGAAAATTCTTTATTTTGGTAATAATTTTAAGTTATTTTTCCATATGTGATCCTTTGTTTTACAATCGTGTTCTCTTCTTCTTCAATAATCCTTTTGTTTAAACATCTGTTGTTGATAATCATCAATATCATTTTCTTGTATAAATATAAACGTATATTATTCGTTTATGATAGTTTCAGAAATTTTTCCTTCGAAAAATGAAGTTGAGTAAAACAATGGATTATATACTGTCGATTTAAGATACAATATTAAATATAAAAATTTATATTTTCATCGTATTTCTATGTACTTATAGTATACTTATGAATAGGATTTCATTTCATATCCAGACAAGTTACAAGGGGGAAAAGGCTGAATTTTTGATTGCCAAAGATTGCCAAACATTGTCGATGATTATTTTTCTTCTTTGATATCGAAAAATCATCGATTCGAGCCATTTTTAGTCAATATAAGTTTGTATCTTAAGAAACATCATAAGAATATGACGACTTTACTCGTCATTGTTCATAGAAAACAGAGTGTATACATGATGACAACTACATAAATTACTGTCACGTTCTTTGTAGGAAATATAAAAGCAAATTAAAATTTCTGGTGTTACCTAAAATTACCCTTCAAAAGTCTGTATAACTTATCGAACAGGAAAGATGAGATTCGAATATGAAGAACTGGAATCTAAGTAGATTTTGTCATTTGTTCATAATGCGCTTTAAACGATCTGAAGACAAAATAAATTTATCACTTGAAAGGAGTCAAGCAGCTGTCTATTTATGTAAATATATTTTTGTACCATTTAATGTTAATGATAAAGTACGACTTGGCCAAGGTGGGATTAATGGAATCAAAAACCCTCATTCCTTGAAATGTAGTCGAACTAACTTTGAAAAGATTATTATAGATACATAATTCTCGTCATTCTCAGTTGAATCTTCATTATCTGTGCAATTTCCAGTAGTGTCTTCATCTTCTTCACCACTACTATCACATGAATCTGAGTCAAAGTCTGGATCATGTTGGTTAAGATGCGAATAATCGACTATTCGAGATTTTGAAGTTGAAAAATAGCCAGTTTCGACATTTTTCTTAGTGATAAGATTTGATGTTGTTGATACATATTTAGGTGACATACGAGACGACTTGCATAAGAATACGCTTGCGAAATAGTATTTTCGAGTGCTTTAACTGTTAATTCTACGATAGAAGTCGATGATATAGATGATATTTGTTTAGAATCGACTGTCCTAGACAGTATGAGATAACGTAAAAATAAATTTTTTTTTTGGAATCACTGGTGTTGTTATCACCAGCTTGATATTTAATAGAATTTAGAAATGATGCCTTTTTTACGGGTGTAGATGTGGGTGTCGACGAGATATTAATGTGTACCAAGTGAAGATCACACCAACAACCATACCCATACCGACACAAACATCCTCGATACATTTGCTGTTGGTACAACAGACAAGATGATAGTTACAGCTGGTAGAACTTAATAAATGATTGATGGAAATCATTGAACTTGTTAATTTTTTTCATTTCGTTTCGAGTAGTTTAATGAGATTATGAACCGATGATTCAAGTCCTAGTAAAAGTGCAATCGTTCATCGGTTAACGTAATGCACAAATGCTTTTTTAGATCATTTAATTGATCGGATTTAGGTTGTACTATAGCACTCAGTGAAAATTTGTTAATTATATGAGATTTTATGAGATTACCATCGGATTTTTGCGCAACAAAATCAAAATTATAATTGATTGAAATCTTCTAAATCAAAGATAATTTGATTTTTGATGAAAAATAATCTTTTTAATCGATTATAATTTTGATTTTATTGCACAAAAAGACGATGATAATCTCTAAGAGTCTCATATAATTTGACAATTTTTCACGGGGTAGTAACATATTTACATCCAAGGAATGAGTTAACTCCATTGCATTCTTGAAAAGCAAGCAATTATGCGACTCGCTTTCCAGAAATTTGACGAATTAAATCGTAAAACGCATCATCGCGAAGATCCACGATATTCGAAGGAAGTGTTTTTGTGTAGATTTGTGAATATTTCGGGGTAGACATATTAAAAATAGCGGTATTAATAAAATGAACAGTATATTGATATTGGTGAGTTTGTTTGAAAAGGTAGAAATGAAGTGAAAACAAAAAGAAAAAGAGATATTTATACTTTTTCGTTCTGAATTATTGTGTCACATGAGCAAATGCGCAAATGCGCACATGAATACATGAACACTCGAAAAAATAAAAATATCGCCTTAGATTATATATCGAGTGTCTACTGTTCGTCGCGATCGACCGGGATTTATGTAGGCAATATAAGATGATATTTATTATGGTGATACAATACTTTCTATACTGATAACTATTTAAATGACAGCAAATTTCATTGTCTTGAATAAAAAGCATTTTATTCTAAATCATTGGTAATATTTGCTATTGATTGTCAATGATTGCCAAAGATTGTCAATGATTGCTAAAGATTGCCAATGATTGCCAAAGATTGCCAAAGATTGCTAAAGATTGCAATCAGCTTTTCCCCCCTTGGATAGAGAGTTAAAAATTAAAAAATAAGAAGAACGAAAAGAAAGCCTCATATGCTGATAAGCTTGACCAGCCCGATGTATTAGCAAGGACGACACAAAGAACAGAGACGATAGATGAGCAATACTTTTCATGAACGACCAGTTTGCTCCACACGAAATGGATCCTTTGTTTTTAACCATTTTTCATTGATTGTGCACATCATTGAATTGATTTGATCTAACTGATCTTTCAACTGCGAATCTGTTAACATCATTTTATCATTTCATTTATTTTTATTCTTATTCTTCTGGTGACGATTTATGTGGTTGAGGAGAACCGTAGATGTGTTTTTCGATGGGTACAAATTGTTTGCTAAGTAAAAATATTGAACGCTCAGTTAATTAAAAGCTTCTCAGCAAAGAAAATATTTGCTAAGTTTGATAATTAAACACTAAGTAAAGATTTGTTTTGCTAAGTTAATACATCAAAATTACATTAAAAAAATGTTATCGCTAAGTAAAATTTATTTTTACTAATTAACTTCAAATAATGGCGAAGTACAGGACTATCTAAGATAAGGCGTATTTTCTCCTAGTGGTATGGTGTATGTATTTTCTCTCTTGCTTTCCTTGTATCAACATTAAACTGGTATCATGACATATGTGTATTCCACCAGTATTTTCTTTCGTTCTGATGTCATACATGAATAGGTATAACATTTTGTTCTGGTATTTTCTGGTACAACTATATCTATGTTTCGCTTGCTGTTTCAACAATATACAATCTATACGGTTTTCTAGAGAATTCGTATGTGCCTAGCAGTTTCTAGAAAGTTCTCGTGGCCCTCATATAAATATAAATATATATGCCACCGAAAGTTTTTTTTAATTAAGAAACTATGACGAATTTTGTGACGGTACAACGATATTTTTTTCTGATGGTAACGAGGCTCAAATGGCAATTAAACAAGAAAAATAATGGAGTCGGTATTATACTAACAGAGGTTATGATGGAATTAAAGTTCATTATCGCTGCAATCAAGTATAGTTTCGTGGAAAACAATGTAACGCAGCATTATATCTACACTATCCAAATGATACCGATGAAGTAGTATTATTTCGTGGAGCAAATGAACACGATCATACCAATTCAATTCATCGCAAGGTTTTTCCTGAAGAAGCAAAAGAAAATATTGAAGAATTATTTGATTTACGACTAAAACTCAAGAAGATACATCAATTATTACAGTACAAAAATTTTAGGATTACATTTAATCAACTAAAAAATTATTTGGTCCTTCAACTTTAAGTTTGGGAGAATTAGAATCTTTATGTATTGAAAAATCTACAGTATCACAAGCTGATGATGAACCATTTGTTCTTTCATATAATGTTACTTATGAAGATGACGATGATGATGATAACAAATTTAGGTTTTTTATATCGACGAAAAGGTTATTGAAATTTTTTGCCACTTCAACACGGCTACATGCTGACGCTACTTATAAACTGAGCTGGCAGGGATTTCCTGTAGTAATAGTAGGAACAACTGATTATGATAGGAAGTTCTATCCATTTGGATTAGGGGTGTGTAGCGACGAAAAGCAACAAAAGCTCTCTTAGTACAATAACTGTACAATGAATTCTTTTACTTAGTTACTTATGTCACTTTACTTAACAAAAACTGTATATTTACTTAGATATTTGCAATATTTGCCTAGAAAATTGACCGTGTCTACTTAGAATTAAAATAAAAAACTTAGCAAAAATTCATTTTTTTACTTGCCATTTAATTGATTTTACTTAGCATTAAAATAGCAGCCTTTTTCGATTTCCTTGATCTTCTCGACTATTTCTTTCACATGGCTGGAGTTAGCGAAATTGTTAGTAATAAATTCGAATTTATTCTTGATCTGTTTAAGCTGATTATTATGATTTACCAGTGTATTAATCAATCTTTGATTTTTATTTTTATTTCGTTGACCATCATCTTTTTTTTTCTCATGTGCTTCCAGCGCGGATAATAATAACTTATCCAGTCTCGAACGAAAGATTTGAGAATCTACAGTAGTGTTTTCTGTATTTCCAAGGATGAACGAAACCATAAAAATAAAGAGTAATTGATTTTATAACACCATTACGACTAGTGAAACAACCGACACAGAGCAATGTTATCGACGATGAAACTATTAAGTTTGCGTATGAGTGTGTGTGAGTGATATTTGTGAGTTTAACTTGATGATAAAATATTTTATATGGCACCATTATTATAGGAAGACGAGTATAAGTATAAGTACAAAAATGAGTGTGTTGGTATGTTTTGTTCTGTTCTCATTTCTCTCTTCTCTCTTGCCTTCTCTTAATACCATGTCCTTTTTCCTTTTTTTGTCAGTGTGACCTTAATAATTGTAGTTACTTGAAACTATCAGGATAACATGCAAAACAAAGAAGATCTTCATCTCTGTAATGGATGACTGAATCTGATGTTCCGTGAGTTGCCATCCACATAATTGCTTGTTCGAGAACATTTCTGTGTAGTACGAATCTTTTTGATCTTCTAAGACAACGGATCGAACTGTCACTCTCTTGCCATTTTGATCTATACTCGTTAAGATCCAGTTGTTCCCATAATAAGTAACCATCTTTGGACTTCCCCAGAGCCTTTAAATATTTTTCCCAGTATGCATAATAATACTCATCTAGATGTTTTTCATTATACATCGATGAAAATATTAAATCCTCCCGACACTGACAACGATATGCGCGTTTTAAAAGTGTGAAATACAGATGATTAAAACTTGTGCGCTGAAGTTCCGTAAATAATGGGAATAACCCAAATAGCCATGTGAAATATGGTAGGACGAAAGTAGAAAAGAGAATACGTCTGAGATGTGTAGATGATGTGCCACTTATCCTAGTAGTTTTACATTGAAGCTAGCTTCTATACGCAACTTTTCATCGGACGGATTTTTGAAATTTGACTCTATTGATTTTTTATAAGGACTTTAATGCGGATGTCTCAAAATAGGCGATAAATTGAGCTTTTCTCAGCCTAAGAACTTTATATCAAAAATCCGTCCAACGAAAAGTTAGTCCTAACTGAGAGCTTTAAAACAAACAAAGAAATATCTGGGAAAGCCTGAGCCAAGCCTAAGTTATTTCAACTTTACTGTCAGAAAAACTATGTTTCGAGAAAAACACAAAATAAGTTTTAGATATCGATTTTTTCATGAAAGACTTGACAATTGATTTTGAAACGAAATATTTTCAACATGTTTCATTAGATCTTGTTATAATTGGTTACAAATGAAGTAAGGTGTTACGCTTCTCTACAAGACAATTTATTTTACTTGGAATTTCAGATAAATTTTGAATAATCAAAAGTTTTTTCCAATAATTTTCAGTAAATTAGATACAGAAGCTTATTAACCTCCTGAATCCCGAGAATTCTTGCGTTCTGTCGTTCTCAACTAGCTGTATATATGTTGTGTATTTTATCATGCCGCTTGGACTTGTAATATCGTCTTGACATTATACTGCATTATATAATACGAAAGAAACAAAATATTTCGGAAAAACACAAGTCTTATGACATCGAAAGAATAGTTTTGTATGCTCACAACGTCTTATATTCAAAATGGACAAGGAGAATGTTTTTGATACATTTCATAGTAAAATATAGTATAGACTAAAACATGATCTAAAAAATAGGAGCATAATATTGAATAATTATTGAACTAAATTTGGCTGATATTTTCTTCTTAGTTAAAAGAAAATAATCAGTAATCACCATCGGCTGAATGAACGATTCTCTATCCATTTTCTGCTTTTTAAACATATGTTCAACGGTACGACAGAACGAAAAAAATATTCTTTCGTTCTGTTTGTCTTCAGCCTGAAGACAGCGGCTCTCAGGAGGTTAAACGCCACTCATACTCCTACACTAACAAAAGCTTACAAAATTTTGTTGAGGGTGTCAGGATGTGGGCGTTGAATCTCCTATACACCCACACCCACACCCAGCTGCGTTCCTGAACAAAATACGCTAATTGTATCTGTTATACTGGTCAGAAATGTTTTAGAAATACGAACTTAAGCACCGTATGACGCATCAACCTCACGTCAATGGTGTTTGATTCGAATTAGTCGCATATAAATTGATGAACAGCGGAAAACCAAAAGTTTTTACGCAATTTGAAAAATTCTTGAAAAACGTGATTACGGTGGATAATGTTTCTCCTGTAACTCCCTTAAAACTTAAGCCTTTTTCAAAAACCTATATATATATATTCTGAAAGAGGAGAATACAGTGAATCTTTCTATGAAAAAACTCGATTTCCGATTTTTTTCCAAAAATCGAGTTTTCTGAGGGGGGTTGCCCCCTTAAGGTCTCCCCCACACCCTAAAAGTTAATTTTCGTCAAATTTTTCAACTTTTTGATTTATAGCGTGTGCAATAGAGCAAAGTGCCCGCTATCGAACGCACTATGATTTATGTATTTTATGATGAATTTTCAGGATGTTACATCAGTTTTTCTGAAACCCCCTATTCTTGCAAATAACGTATTTTTAAAATTTTTCATGTCGAGATGTTTCGAGCGGTAATCTCAACCTTGGTCGAAAGATAAAAATGTCGAAAAATTAAAAAATGGTACTAATTTAAATAAGCAAAACCATCGTAGGTGATAGTTTATGGAAGTCAGTCTCCAGCACACTGATCATTATTCTTTCATTTTTATCTTCACGCTCATATTCGTTTGTCGATATTTATATTTTCCAACAAAGCCAAGGTTATCTGTTTTTAATCGAGTAAAAATAATGAATAGTTTAAAGTGAACGAATTTTAATAATAAAAAAAACGGATAAAAGACAAGAACAACAGTTCTTGTTCAATCAGCTAAAAAAGTTAGTTAAATTCTGTTTCACGTCATTTTTTTTTCGCCCCAACGAAAGACAGACCAGTAAGAAGTTTAGATGGATTGATCAGATAACTGCTATATCGCTGATACAAAGTGTCTATGCGATGTCTTTTTTTTGATGCGCCGGATGACCATTGAAGACGTATATTTTTAACCCGTTTTTCTTCAGCTTTCATGAAATTGATAAGTAGCCATACATTAGGATGATTTCTTTGAAATTGCTAAATTATATACTCCACCTTCACAAGCGTTATTGGTGCGATTATCAAGTCCAAATAAGTTCCACAATTCAATGTTTGTTATCCAGTTTTTCTCAAAATATTGAAGTAATTCTTCCATCGGCGCATCAGGTAAACAACGAGTAGCATCTCTTATCTCATCAAAGCCACCTACCACTTTATCACTCATCGATTGAATATTGTTGTTGTCGGCCAAATCCCTGGATTTGTCTATATGTTATTTGACAGAAATGGAAAAAGGCAGCATTTATGTGCAGATAATGGAAACTGAAAGTAAACAAATAGATAATGAGAAAAAGATATTTTCAGAATTAAAACAAGATATACTAACGTCTGCTTTCACGGAAGAAGCTAAACCCAGTTCGAAATCCGACATAATTAATAGTGGTGAAAAAATTATTCCTTTTTTTGATGCAATATTTTTCAACTCAACGAAAATTTGCTTGTATGTCGTGGCTTTTTGATCCACGAGTAGTGCAAAAACACAAGGCACACCTTAAAACAAAGAACAAACTCGCAGAATGAAGAAGACAACCGTTACTTACATATATCCAAATTGTCAGCGTGCATTACAAATAACTGAAAAAAATGAGTTGGCGTTTTACTGAACGGTCCATCCATATAAACTATTGGTGAATTCAATAATAAATCAAGCTGAACATCACTAGAAAAAATCAACAGGCGTTCTCTTCGAACACGAGCCTCATCAAGAAATAAAAATCTTTGTTTTTCCATTGTCAATGTGTACTATTCCGGGATATCAAAGATGCATGATTCCGGAATTGGTGGTACTCGCTTTCGGCGACTTTTCGCGATGCTTTCATCTACAAAAAAATTAAAAATTCTTCTTATGCATAAACACTAATGAAACCACTTACAAAGCTCGTGAACTGTTGGAAGTATGGCGACCGCTGCCGTACTCATAGACGTTTTGGACATTTCTTCATCATAAATCATTCCAATGGGCGTTAATTCATTCATTACTCGTCGTTTTATTTTTTCACGTGTTTGTTGAACTTCAATTAATTCCAGATTTGCAGCATGTTCATGCGCGTTTTTACCACCTCCGTATGAACAAAGACATTACAACCACATACTACACATACCCAGTATTTATTTTTATTTGTCTTTTTGCTGCACTTGTACACGTAACTATTCACTATCAATAATGGTTGACCTTTGTTCGACGTGATGAAATCCAATTTTTGGTTGATAGGGTTCGGCCAGGTACTGAATGAAGCCATTTAATTATGTATATCTACAATAGTGTACAGTTGAATATAATTCTATTCTTACTGAATAGTCCTATCTGCCTCGCCGTAACAGACGGACGGACGGACGGACGACAAGTGACGTAATCAACCAATTAGAAGTTTCTCCGAACATAATTCAAAATCAACTCCCAATGGCATCTTCATGCATAAACTTTCGAAAGCGTATTATTCAATAATTTCAATCTTAGCTTTCAAATTTTTCCGAGAGTTTTTACTTCTCAATATATTTATCTTCAGATATTTGTTTTCGACATTTTTCTTTCGAGCTTCTCCATTGATTTTTTACAGTAGTTTCAATGATTAACATGTATCGCTAAGTATAATAGCTTGATATATAGTGCGAGTGGCGAATATATAGAAACGATAGAAGAGAATGAAATACTGACCATCCATGTGTAAGTCAATTTTTATTTGGAGAATAAGTACCAAGGACTTTTCAGTGCTTTTTCATGAATGTAAAAATGTATATATTGTTAAAGACAACACAAACTGTAAATAAAACTTCTTATTTGGAATTGTTTGACTGGATTTGTAGATTAAAATCAGTTCTTAATTAACAACAACTGCTGCTGCTAATAACTCTTCAAGCGAAAGTGACGATGAAATGTCATTTATTCCAAATAATAAAAATTTTACTAATATTACTCAAGATTCAATCGGATTGGAACTATCGAACGATGATGCAGATATGGACTATGAACCAGGAGGGGATGATTAATTTTTTTATAATTTATCATATCCAAGATTTTTGATAAACTAGTCAATAAAGTTTGCTAGGATATTTTTCTCTTTGAAAGGAATTCGCATGTTTTCATTTGTTTTAGATAATTTTCAACTACTATTATTACACGATATAAAATTATCCATAGAAATCCAGATGATTTGGTTCATATCATACCAAGCAGTTTTTATTGATTTGACAGTAGAAATGACATAAACATATGCAACAAAAAAACGTTTTCTTCATACACCTCTGCATACCTCGACTCAGTTTTTTCTAATCAATGATCGATAGGAAATCCCTAACAAGTTTATTTCACAACATGCTATTGTAAAAAAGTCTTGAAATTCACTTCTAAAACTTTTTTTGCGTTTTTCTCAAAACTGGGTCTTTGGTTTTAACACTTTTCCATTTCCCAAATTTCTCCGTCAATTTAAACACTACAGAGTTCCGGTCAGTGCCAAAATGAAGCAAATCGTCGGCTTCAGAACATGATAAGGCTAGAATCTTAGATTTTTGCGCTTAATGTCTCATGAAATTCAAATCTTTTACAATGTATACAAGATTTTTGCCGTATCGCATGAGATAAGCTGCAACAAAAAGAAAACTGCTAATGAAAAAGCGAATTGAGCTCTGTCAAGTTCTAGCGCTATGTTTTCGACATATTTTTAAAGTAACGCGAACTTTCTAGTATTTGAAATGACTGAGAAATTTGGAAAACGCTGACACCCCTATTTTAACTCATAATCGTGAGGTAAACCTTGACAGACTCAATATTTCGAAGTGAAATTGTTTTCGTAACCTTACTAACAGTAGATACATATTCTCTAAAAATTTCAGCAAGATCGGATGATCAGAAGCAAAAATAGAAATTATGGTGGGGAGGGGGGGGCTTAATAGAAGAATCCATCCCTTGTTTTTCTTCTCATGTCGTCGTAATGATCATTTATGAAGTACAACAAAACATATTGAAGGTACTCACTCTGATGAATTTCTGTAAAATACTCAGAAATCTATTATTTTGTTCGGCATCTTTGTACTGACTGCGTTCAATTTATTTAATTTAAAAACTCATGATTGAACAGTGTGAGTAAATTACTGTTAACAACGAGTTAAGGGAAAACATGTAATCATATATTGAATGAAAAATGTAAATTTTTCAATAGATAATTTGAGTTCTTACACGTAATTGGGGCTGTCAATTTACAGTTTATTTAAGCCACCTATTTTAGTGTGTTACAGAGGCTCAGCTGAAACTTAATTCAAATTTACAACGTAGAAATACACGTTTCTGTTTCAATTCCTAATCTGATCCGATCTGATCATTAACATGATCTCCTTTATTATTCTTTTTCTTTTCCCATTTATACTGTACAACACACACAAGAGAGAGAGAGATAAAGGCAGAAAGAAGAAAGGACATTGGTTTCTTCGACTAGGCTATTTTGTATATAAAGATGATGGTGCATCATTCTATAAATGCACTTAGTTCTAGAAGAAGAAACGATGGCATTATTTACATCGTCACGGTCGGAAGGAAAGAAAACACAATAGAGAAATATGAAGAGAGAAAGGAAAGAAAGAATAAAAAGAACGGTTGGCGTATGTGGATCTTCGAATTGGATTGCACATATAAGAAACACGACATATAGAATGAAACAAGAACGTATAAGAATTAAATAATAAATAAGGTTTGTTAGAGTACTCTCTAACAAAGTGCTAGGTAGAAAAATATAAATGAAAAGTAGATTATTGCTAAGTAAAATATATAGATACTCAGTAGAAAAATTAGATGCTCAGTGAATATATTAAATGCTTAGTGGAAATAATATTTCTCGGTGACTAAAATTTTTACCAAGTTAAATAATTAATATCTAAGTAAAATATTTAATTACTAAGTTGATAAATGAGATTGATAAGTTAGAAAATATATCATATGGATAAAGAAAAAATATTGCTAAGTAAAAGTGATTATGACAAGAAAACGATTGTCAGCCTGGGTGTAGATCGTACATTTTCTCTCTTTCTCTCTGTTAAGGTGTGGGTGTGGATGGGTGTAAATTCCTTTGGTACACCCACACCCCACCCACCCTAGTGAGAGAATCTATAGTAATAACAGAAAACTTACCTAGTCTAAATAACACCACAAGGTCTATGCCCTTGATCATCTATCCGGAAGGATGCAAGAAAAGACGAAAATATTAAAAATACTATAAAATATTAAATCATTTTCACATTTTCAGATGAAAGCCTTTAGCTCCATTCTTTCAATATAAACTTCTCACTAAGTGTTACATTACATTTGATTCAATTGTTATTATTTGTTATCATTCACCGATATTAATGTAAACAATTACAAATTACAATAGCAATGATATTACTATTATTTATATTCTTCTTAGATATATCCTCATTGATTCTTCTATTTAATTATTTACATCAATCATTTGGCCAACAACAAATTAAAGGCAAACCACTCATTCAACATAGTCGCTATTCCATATTATCTTCTGAACTCGTGCAACTCCATCTCAATTGACTCTATTTCTTTTTTTCACGTTAAATTCTTTAATTGCTATTAATTCATTTCTATCTTCAACATCTTATCAAATCTTGTATTTAGATAATATCTTTTAATTTTCTGTATTTATATATCCTTTATATTACTAACTTATTAATTTATTTATATATTTTCTGTCAATCTTCTTACTTGTTAGCTTGTCTATAAACGATTTCCATTTGGGAGTGTTATACTTTATAATGATAATTAAAATTATCGAAACGTTGTAACGTAAATAATTAAAATGAAATAATTTTGTATTATTAATAAAGCTGCTGTAAAACTTTCCCATATTTAATTCAAATAATTTTCCCATGAATCATATTAATTAACTACAATCGAAGAGAAAGGGTTTTATTGCCTATTATATACCAGCTGGTGATGTAGTAAATATTACAAAAAATGAAATCGAAAGATACAAAAGAAAACAATGGACTTCATTTGCGCAATTTAAGGGTTTTCAGTTTGGAATTTGGAAAGTAACTTTACCAAACATTGGATCGGAATGGAAAAATGGATTTTGCAATTGTCCAAATTTTTTGACGGAATACATTTGTAAACACGTGATTGGTATGGCAATTAGATTAAAACATTGTAAGCCACCTTCAATAGCGAAGGATGAACCTTCCCAGGTCGAGCTATCCGACAGTAGGCACCTATCGGAACTCATCCGATCAGACTGGAATCCAATAGGATTTTATCGGATCCTGTCAGATCTTACAGAATTATCGTTGGATTCCGGGTCGAGGAATCGATGTCAGAACCTCAGTGTCGGATTCCTATGAATTCCAAGGAAAAACCGTTGTATGCCATCGGAAGTTCATAGGATTCCGACACTGAGGATCCGATGTCAGATCAGTCGACCTGGGTCGTTCTGGCAAAAAAATCCATCTAGATACGAAGATTCCAAATGTACCCGAGTGTTAGATCAATTTATTAGATGAAATAGTGATGTTACGTTGCGTTAGTTGGCTGAAAAATTACAGACAGGATGAATGTAAATCACCTGTTTCTACCCGTACGATCTCACGTCATTTAAATCGTCTTGAATATGTAAATTGTTTACCATTGAATACGCCAATGTTCACAGAAGAACACAGAGGGTGTCGAATTGAATGGGTCAAATGCGCAGTAGAAGAAGAAAAAAAAGGAATTTCAAAGAATCAGCAAAAATTTCATGTTTAGTGTTCCATTAGTTATCGTGGGAGAGTCGATTTTCATTCTTTTCAAAATATTATGAACAGTAATTATTACATTGAAATACTAGAAAACAACTTAATTCTGAATACTCAACGTCAATTTAAGACCAAAATGATGATTACACCAAGATAACCACCTCGCAAACATCGATCTTCAAAAACCTGAAAGATGATTGGCTGATAATGTTTCAGTTCTTATAGACCGACCATCGAATAACCCTGACTTC